TTCAAGTAGGCAAATTTCGTTTGTTGTTTCTTTGTTTCTGGCGCAGTCGCCGTCTACAATTTTCTTTGATCATTTCTTACTATTACGTACTATAGCTATTGAATACTGAATTTTCTTTTAAAACAAGAATGTTGGTTGGTCACGAATAATTTCTTGATAAACATACTTTGAGTTTCCGATGATGACTGACAACTGAAAATTGGTTTATTTCGACTCAGAGCTTTAGATAGTTGGCTGTGTTAACCTTAGAATTGAGTATGTATCTAGATTAGATTTCTCAAAGTCTTAACCATTTCATCAAAATCTCTATAGTCCGAGATCTGGCTGCAAATTTTGACCGTCATCTGTTAACGAAATGATAAATGTCCCAAAGGCATGAAAAACATTGTAGTTTATCGAACGGCACCTGTGCCGCACATTCCTGTGCGGAAATTTGCACTCGATTCCGCTATTTGATAACGAGGTAAGAATTATACCATCCGATATCAATGGGCTTATATCACAAAAAAATTTCATTTCATAATTTGATAGAACTCACCCAAGCTGTTCTGTTTCGGGCCAGGAGCTATTTCACTTCCAGTCAGCTGCTCATGATCTACAAGGCACAGATCCGACCTGTCCTGGATTATTGTTCCCATATTTGGAGTGCAGCACCCAAACATACCCTGAAACTGTTGGTTTCTGTCCAAAAAAGGGCAATTCGTCTCGTGGGCGATGAAGCTTCGCTCACAAGCTCACTCAATCCTCTGGAACACCGTAGAAAAGTTGGCGATCTTGGTCTATATTTTATAGATATTTTCATGGACGATGCTCTTCTGAAATTTCAACAATTGTTCCCCCCTTGGCAGTCCCCGCGAGATTAGCCCGTCGAGTTGAGGCTTCGCACCCCGTCGTGGTCACTTTGGAGTCCTGCAGAACATATCTTTCCAAAGACTTATTCATACAGCGAACAGCGAGGCTCTGGAACACATTGCCAAAGGAGATTTTTCCCGAGGCATATTACCTCCAGAAATTTAAGTACCTTATTTTCCTTGGTTCTCACAATGTTCGCTGAACATTACAGGATATCCCTTTTCGTGGGAACCAGAATATTAAAAAATATATATCTGTTCTTATTTTCCATGAATTATTGTTCCACACGTAAGGGGTAACTGCCCATGTCATTTTTTCGCATCCTAGGATAATTCAAGTTTAGGTAGTTCATGGATTATGATATACGTTTGAAATTTTTAATCATCAAAATGTTCATCATTACAGTAACCTACCTATTTCAGAAATATATTCGAATAATGTAGTTATGTATGAACCAAATTTCAATTTTCTTCTTTTCATATACCACAGATTAAGGTTTGTTAATCTGTGTCATATACGAATCGTGTGCGTCAGAAATATCGAGTTACCTAGCAAAGTTCACAGAATAAATCTCTATCTTTTTTTCATCAATTTGAATCTCCATTGTTCAAAATCCGCAATCTCTATCCGGCGACATTTCAATCGTTTAAAAATAGCTTTCAAAAGTGGTCTAATCAAGCAGATGGATAATTGATCTGATTATCATTCACTTAAAATCAATTCGTTCCATGTGACATCAGAGAATCGTGTTCTTTAACTCCGAAAAAGATAATCATTCTTTTTGAGAGCTGAAATAAACTGAGTGCCTATTGGCTGGCTCCTTCAGTTTCATTCATTAAATATGGGAAAAAAATCAATATCTACACAAAAGAGATGGTTTCGAATGATGTTTATGGATTATAAATATTATCACAATGAATATTCGATCGATCGATATCTGATACTAGTGCGATGAAACCAAACTGGTTACAATATTGGTAAAAATGAAATGAAAGGAACTTCTTCATTGTTGAAGACGCCAAACTGTTGATACTCTCTCCTCGTAAGGGCACCTGTCGTGTTTCAATATAGGCATAAAGGTTATAGTTTGTAGGTTGTACATACGTATAACTCGACATATAATATATTGCCTTACATAAAATTATTAGAATTCATAAAACTCAACTAGTCAAGAATGAGAAGTGATATATTTAACATTTGAAAAACTTAGTATAGGTTTGTGGCGTTGGATGACTGTCAAACTAGTCAATAAAATATATGAACAAATATCTAATCGGAATAATGTTCATGGCTCAAAAATCGAGCGCATGCGCTTTCAAACTTCATCCCAATGAAAATGATTATTACGAATCTACATTCATTTTGGCTGTCATTTAATCGATTTTTTTTTTAATTTCAAACAACTTTCGGGTTGATGAAAAATACGTTGACTCTCACGTTGACTACCTGATTATAAAGCTTGATGGTGAATCGATTTCCTAGCTATACCCACGCAATATAATGTTTATCCCAGCAGTCCTTGGTGTGTCTGTTTATATTTATCAAGTTTCGTGGAAACTCATTAAAATGTGAAAGTTTTGATTTCAAAGGGTTAACAAACTGAAATGAGATGTTGCTGAAATGCGTTGTTCTGAAAGGCTTAAAGCTACCGCACAACTTAATTATTTTGTGGAAGAAGAAATGTCGTTGTTAAACGATATTCGCTCGAAAAGATAAAGATCTAAGGCGATATATTTCTAGATGGTTGGAAATTATTAGCATGTGAATGCTTTGTCTCTCGAACAGACATATTATTGCATTTTTTATCTTGTTCGAAAAAATATCACTGCAGACGACAGAAAAACTTCCATCATAAGATCTACTCAAGTTTATAAACATGCTTTTCCTACGGTATCAATTTGAATGAAACTTGACTAGTGATGAAATTGTACAGTGTGTCCAGTTTTCGATGCTTTTGCGTGATATCTCAGTTATGTCTGGAGATACTCAAGATGGCCACGTCTAATCAGATTTTGCAGTTTCCGTTTCTGAGATACAGGGCGATTTTGAAAATTTGTACTTTTTAGACCCCCTCTATATCTACGAAGTTTCTCAGCCGAAATGTCAAATCAAAATCTCATCCCATAGCGAATTTTACGCAGAATCCAGTGGCGTACTCCAATTTTTTTTCGGGGTATGGTTTTGCAGATACGACTCAAATTCAGAGTTTCCAAATGGAGCACCCTGTATTTTATGAGCTCATTAAATTCCTTATTTTTTTGCCTTCAAAATAGTTTATAATGTAAAAATATAAAATTTTCAAAAATGCTCCAAAATTAATAACAAATTGAATTTTAATAGATTTTTCATATAGAAAAAGTTACAATTGAGAGAATATTTCTTTCAGTGAATATTTAATCAGGTGCTTATTCTACATTATGAACTTTTTATTGCCATAGATTAAACAATCAATTGTTGCTGTCAGGTACCTATGTTTTGTTTTGTTATTCAATTAGTGTTGATATTGTTTTTGTCCTCTTCATGGAAAAATCAAAAGAAATGTTTCTTCAATTAGAACTTTTTTATATGAAGAATACATAGCCCACTATTAAAATTCAATATTTCAGCATTTTAGAAAAATTTATATTTATACATTAAATATCATTTTTGAGGAAAAAAAACAAGGAAATCAATGAGCTTATAAAATGCAGCTGTTCAGAATATCATAAGTTTGAGTCGTATTTGCAAAACCATACCTCGAAAAAAAATTTGAGTGCGCCACTGGATTCTATGTAACATTCTGAATGGGATAAGATTTTGATTTGACATTTTTGCTGAGAAACTTCGTAGATATAGAGGGGGTCCAAGAAGTATAATTTTTCAAAATCGCCCTGTATCTCATGAACGGCAACAGTTATGCAAAATCTGATTAGGCCATCTTGAGTTTCACAAAAAAGTGGTACAGGACCGCGAAAACCGCGAGGTTGTATCTCTAAAGATAACTCAGATATCACGCAAAAGCCTAGAATTCTGGACACACTGTACAGCTAATTTGTGAGTTATCATCCATGAAATAAGGTCTACTATTTGGAAAACTTTTGTGTGATATTAAAATGATTATATGATATAAGTATATGATAAAACAGTACCTTGTTTCTATCGGGTATTGTAAATCAAAATACTCTTCATATCCATAAATATGTTTCTAAAATTGTTCTAACGGTCATTCGGTTGCCCCCTTACGCTTCTACCACGAGGCTACCTGGCCTCCCTACGTGTCCTTTCTCCAAAAATTCTTAGTTCTCAGTAGTTAAGTTGATAGTTGACCAACTTTGTAGTTATTGATTCTTAATTTGAATGATAGATATGATTACATAAACTCTCATAGACATCGAACTAGATCTTGTCAGCAGGAGCGAGACAGTACTGTTTCGGCCCACCAGGCCTCATCAGTCGCTCTCGGTCTGCTGACAACTGGGACAACTCAACGCTTCGGGTACATCACCCATGTGGAAGACGCCGGATAATACATGATGATCAAGTCATGCTGATGGCCTTATTTCACTCAAGTAGTCAGGTAGTGCCATCTGTCATCAGAGTGGTCTACTCGTAGACCCAGGGGCGTCCGCAGAAAAAATCTCCGGGACTATAAGAGATTTTACACCTCCAAAAGCGGAAGTACAGGGTATAGAGTACTCCCTAGGCTAAAAAAAAATTCCTGGATTTTTCTGGCACTAAATCTAACACTATGTTTGCAGCAGCTTCTTCAATAGTTATATCACACATTTTCGCAATATTCATTAAAAAACCTTGGGAAAACAGTTTATATATAATTTTTTTGTTTATAATCATCTAAGTTTGTTATCCTCCTAATTCGGTGTAATAAATCTATCGGCCACACCATCGCCATTTTAAATTTAAATCTTCATGTATTATCCGGCGACTCTCTTAGCCGTTGTCTTGTATTCAACGTTTCGAGTACTTGGTTGTTAGTTCAATTTTTAGTTTTGTTGAATCAACAGACCCAGTGTTACTCTCAGTCCTCCATGTTCGTTTACATTTTGCAGAGCTCTCAACTATGGAAATCGCGAATAACTCGAATTTCAAATTATACCATGTTCTCTCATACTTCCTTACGACACAATTTTGATTATCGATATTTTTTATAGGCCGATGCATCAGTCGATATGGCTGAGCGCCATTTTTATGCCGCAAGCATGGACTACGTCTACTTGATCCAGGAGGTACATGAAAGAAAAAAGTTCGAATTTGTCGAGACTCTGCTAACTTTCGTCTATGCTTGGTTCACCTTCTACCATCAGGTAAAGAAAAACAAATTCTTCTATGGTCATTCCGTATATTCCATATACGGAATGACCATCAGCCTCAAAACTATAACTAGTTCTAAAATATTCGACCTCGAATATTTCATAAACGGCTGAACCGAATATCAACAACCTATATATTTTTAAAATCAGAAAAGAAAGATCTTCGATTTTTTCGAATATATAGGGTGTTCCATTGAAAATAACGAAGTTGATTCCCATTTCTTGTAACAGCGATATTCATTCGCTTCACCTCGTACAAATTTTCTGAAGGTGGAGAACAAACCTTACAACTTTTTATTTGAAGTTTATTTCTATCTTCAATGTTGAACCCTGTAGAAGCTGTTTAAATATACGGAATGACTATGAAAAAACCACGTTAGGTACTATTTTTCATGTTTTAAATTTTTTTTTCAACCAAGATTACTGATAGCAGAACCCACTTCTTGCATAAATCAAAGAGCCATGAATTCGTCAATAATTGGGTAATAAATTATAACCTCGGAAACAAAAATTTGATTTACTATTACCAAAATAAATGAATCATTATAGTCAAATAGCTCGCTTAGAGCACAAAAATACCTTAGGTTTCAAAAAAGTACAAGCGCCTTTTTCCCTTTTCATGTTAATGTTCATACCTGACCCTTTCATTGCTCTGATGAAATAGGTGAACGATTCAGTATTTTCAGGGATATGAATTGAAAAAAGACTGCGACCCCTATTGGAAGGACCTGCAACAGAAAATCCAGAAGACCAGAAACAATTTCGACGATTTCAGCCAAATACTGAAGAAACGAATGTCTGAAGTACAGAAACAGGATGAGCCGATCAGAAATGCCAAGGGCTGTAGAGAAGGATATTTGTTTTTGCTCGAGAAAAGTTAGTGGACCGAAAAATGGTCGGCGTGTATTTTTCTTTCAACACGGTCTTTTCTTTTTCTTTCAGAGGCTTTTGGTACAACTTGGACGAAACACTACTGCAACTACGATAAGGACACAAAAATATTCAGTATGCTCCCTTATAATCAGCTTACGACTAAGTCTGTAAGTATCCAGTGTCATAGGAAATCATTGTTTCACTTAATAATAGGAAACCTCACAAGAAAAATTATCAATCTTTAGTTAAATGATGAAATCCCTATTTTTCTCATTATGAGAATTTTCCACATTCAACAATCACACTGTTTTGTTAATTTATGACCAACCTCGAACGATTTTTTGAATATGTTTTTGCTGCAAATCATGTGCCAATTCGTTCTTCTAGGTCTGTTCATATTTACCATTTGGTCCATTGTCAAAAATTTTTTTGCAGCTTCCCCCACCTGACAAAATGGTACTGACTACTTGCGTCAGAAGGATGTCAGATTCGATAGAGAAGAGATTTTGTTTTGATATACATTCTGATGATAAGCCAGGAGCTACATTCACTTTCCAGGCACTATCTGAGCAAGACAGGAAAGCTTGGATGGATATCATGGATGGAAAGGAACCAGTAAGAGTTTTTTTATGGATAAATCAAAATTTGTATTGAAATTGGAAACTTCCTCAAGGTGCCATTCTTGGGCCACTATCTTAACCTATTCACAGAACATAATATTCAAATTTCGATAAACTTTTTCTTCATTGAATTGAATGGGTTTTGTTAGATGACTAGATTATTTTCTAATGCAAAATATTAGGTATATAAGAAGATCACTCACCATAAATGCCACTGCTTTTATTACGTAATTATTTCTGAACCGGATCCGAGAATTCGAAAATCTTGGAATGTTTAAATAAAAATGTTTGTTTGATATGTGAAAGTCATAGGTTGTTGGATAATCTTCATTTTTTAATTAGTTTTTTATTTCTTGGAGCGCACGAAAGGAAATTCTTATAATGTTCGAATGAATGCTTACAAGATTAGTTTTTTTTTTAGTTCAATTGATACACAAATATACCTGCTGAAAGATTCTTTCAGAGACTGATGATATTTTTTTTAGATAAGCCATATTCTCCTGTTTTTTTTTCAGACTTATACAATTCCTAGCAATAATGCCAACAAAATTCCGAATTCAGAAGAAAGGGTTCTAGACGAGACTGGTATCCAGTTTGTAAAAAAATGTATAGAAGTACTGGAAAGCAGAGGATTGGAAGAACAAGGCATTTACAGGTATATTTCGAGAATTTTGACATCCCTTAATTGAACGTTCAAAATATCGGTTCAACGAATTGTTTGACTTCGGTTTTTGAGTTAAATTTTTTTTCAGGGTCGTGGGCGTTAGTTCTAAAGTCAACAAGCTGTTGAACATGGGTCTGGACAGGAGGAAAAGCGAAAAACTGTCACTGGAAGATCCGCTGGAATGGGAGACGAAAACCATAACCAGTGCCCTCAAGACCTATCTCAGAAACCTTCCCGAGCCTCTGATGACGTATCGGTACCACAACGGGTTCATAGCGTCAGTCAGTAAGCACCATAACAAATAATGATAAAATAGGTTATTTGATTCAATTTTTTCTCTGTTAATTTTCCAGAGAGCGAATCGAAGCAGACTAGGATACATGACGTTCATATATTATTATACAGGCTACCCAAGACTAATTTCGAAGTTCTGAAGATCCTGATCAAACACTTGACAAAGTAAGTGATGATGTGATAATTCAACCATTTCAATCTTAATTTTTTCGCGTTTCATGACCTATTCACCTAATAACCCAAAATAGTTCACTGTTACAAACCATTTTCTCCTCTCGAAGTTCGTACATTTTTTAAATAATTATTAAACTCCTTGATATTCCACTGCGGCCAATCTATTTTTCTCAAAGCAAGAAAGCAGTTTTGTGATTCATTCAACTTGATTGCCCTCACGTTATCAAGAGATATCTGCCCATTTTCATTATTGAAAAAAAGTATTATCGATGATTTTAAATACCTGATGATTACATCAGATACTAGTTATACATGGGAATATCAATACAAAATAGGCATGTGACGTGAATTCAACTACTGACCACTGAAATGTTTTTCTTTAGCCTTAATTCACCCAAGTCTTGTGACGAGAAAGTTATGTCATTGAAATCAAACATTTTTATCTAAGAGACCTTCCGCCAGAGCAATGATGGAAGATATACATACATAATAGAGATGCCTCCCCTATCATTGTCTTGAAACAAACTTGTTCACGTGGGAAGAGTGAATTTCACTTTGATTTTCTTCAATAAGGAGATGCATTCTTTGTTATTTTATAAAATCCGACATCGCTGGGCTAATTAATTATGAATAGTATGATCCCACTTGACGTTGTTGAGATTAGCGCATCCGGGTTTTCCATTTTGTTTTATTATGTTATAGTTTATGCAAAGTCAGTTGGAAAGTTCAAAGGCTGCGGCAGTGCGGCCCGACATTCGTTTGATGATCTGTTCAACTGACTTTGTATAAACTATACTAGCTGTTCCCTGCGCGGGTTGCTAAAATAAATTTGATGGAAAGACAGTTACAAGTATTGAATTTATTTCGAGTCATTTTATTGATTATACCTGACCCGGCAAACATTGTTTTGCTATGTACATTATTTCTAGAAAATATTTTTTCAGTTGAATATTCAACAATACACTTTTATTATTTTATCTTCTACTTCTGTTTAGTTTGACTAACCATAAAATCGTGTTCCCTTAGTTTTTCAAACTACTATTTATTTACTACTTCTTTTCAGTTCGGTAATCTATCTCTTTACTTTTATAAACTACTATTTAGTTTCTACTTCTTTCAGTTTGGCTATCTATGAAAGCGTGTTTTATCAGTTTTTTGAAACACTATTCATTACAAAGCTCATTCGACATATTGAATCCGCCATCTTGAATTTTCTAATTATGACGGAGGAATCATAATCTCCGACCCAGAAAACCCTCAGATAGTAATTTTCAATAGAATCGTATCATAATTAATAAACTCGTATGGCGTATTGGATCTGCCATCTGGAATTTTCGAAATTCGACGAAAGAATCATAACCTCCGAACCCGAAAACCCCTAAATACTGATTTTGATCAGAATCGGGTCATAATTACAAAAATTGTCCGTGGTATTGGATCCGCCATTTTGAATTTTCAAATTTTCACGAAAGAATCATAATCTTCGATCCCAGAATCCCCCAGATGCCAATTTCGAAAAGAATCTGATCATAATTACAAAACTCGTTCGCCATATTGGATCCGCCATCTTGAATTTCCCAATTTTGATGAAAGAATCATAATCTTCGACCCTGAGAATCCTTAGATACTTAACTTTGAATAGATAGATAGATAGATTATGATTACAAAAGTCGTACACCATATTGGATCCGCAATCTTGAATTTCCAAATTTTGACGAAACAATTTATTTGAAGGTTTAAATTAAAGGATATGGTTCCTTTGCTCATTTGAAGAAAAAAAGTTCAACACCGATGCCACTAGTAGATATATTAAAAAATCTTCACCAAAAAATGCCTATTGCTGCTAGAGCAGTACCTTTTGATGTATACTATAGCTCGAAAATTTCTGAGGTTAAGGGCATAATTATGTTCATTTGAACATTTTAAGATGAGCTAGGAACCATATCCCATTTTTTTAGACATCAATTCAACTACACCATGAATCCTTTCTGCACAAGAGATTGTTTTTTCTAAATGAACCTAAATTAACTTCCTTCCAAGAAAGTATATTTTTCGGATAATGGCGTGAGAACAAAAAAAAAGATGACCAACGCAGGGATCGAACCCTGGTCCTCAAGAATGGCATCGCTTATTCAAAAATTAATGAATGTGGAAAGAATATAATGTGTTGTGAGGCTTGTGAGTGACTCTCGAGAATTCCGAGAACGCACACATGGAAACGGTGTAGCCGTATCACGCACGCGTGAATCTTTCAACGTTGCGATCGGTCTAAAACCCCGACTATGGACCATTTCGGGTAGTATTGAATTCGTCTCTCCTTCACCCAGCGTGGTATCCAAATGCGACAAGAACCTGATGACGGTCAGCAACCTGGGCGTCTGCTTCGGCCCCACCCTGCTGCGCCCTGAAGAGGAAACCGTCGCCTCCATCCTCGACCTCAAGTTCTACAACATCGTCGTCGAGATCCTCATCGACAACCACCAGCGGCTGTTCTTCCGGGAGCCGGACACCGAGCCACCCAAACCGGTCAACGGTAAGGTTGTGGCGATTGAAATTTTCAAATGACTATTCCATTATCAATTCTCGGACCTATCTTATTCGTGATCTACACGTCTCAGTTTCCTAAGTGTCTCCGATACACGCGTATTCATAGCTACGCTGATTATACTCAGATTTACAAACAATTCTCGGAAAATTCAGTGCAAGTTGCATGTCAGCAGATCAATCATGATTTGAATTCTTTGATCGAAACCTCAAAAAAATACTGCCTAACAGTTAATCCATCAAAAACAGTTATGATGCTATTTGGCCAAACTGCAATGAGAAGAAGAAACGAGAGTAATATAATCTACAACTACCTCTTACAGATCGTTCAAAAAACCTTGGTCTCATTATGGAACATTCTCTCAGATTCTCATCACATGTGTCCCAAATAATAAAGCGTGGATACTGCAATTTGAAAATGATATACTCCAATAGAAAAATATTAAACCAAAATTCCAAGAAAATCTTATGTAATTCGTTGGTTCTATCGCATGCCAATTATATGCTGATATTGTATATGGTCCCAACTTACTTCAAGCCGACAGGAAAAGATTACAGACCTTACAGAATTCATGCTTAAGGCTTATCACTGGGACCAGAAGGCGACAGCATGTAACTCACCAACTAAATAATTTAGAATGGTTAAATATGGAGGCCCGACGTGTATTTCATGCTTGTATTCTCTACCATAAAATTATAACTACAAAAAAACCTTCTTATCTCCACGATAAAATTTGCTATAGAACTGACATTCATAATTTAAATCTTAGATTCAGAAATAATCTCTCAATACCACCTCATAAAACTACTCTTTATCGTGGCTCTTTCACCTATAATATCGCCTGGCTTTACAATCGACTCCCGAATTCAATGAAAACATTATCAATTCCAAATTTCAGGAAAAAACTGAAATCTGACCTACTCCGTAACTCTTTGCCTCAGGTACTATGATGTATTTTTTTTTTCTTTTTTTTTTTATAGGTATGCATCCAGCTTTATGATGACTTATATTTGAAATTTTCATGTGTAAATTTAAATTATTTTATATTTGGTTACTTATAGGTTTATGTATAACATAGCCATAATTATGTTTTTCCCTCGGTTGAATGGAAGAGCAAGTTCTGATTACGTCACTCTCACTGGTGAAATGATCTGAACTTGAATTCTGCAATAGCAATGCGTAATTTTACTCAATCATTCGGTATTATACTGACTCTTGGTCTCTTGAATCAATCAGAATCGGACATTTTCACGGTTTCTTCTGTATTACAGCGATATTTTTTTGTTTTCTAAATTTTATCGGACTTGCTTTACCAATACAGAAGCCGAATTGACTCACATGTTACCAACCTTCCTCGTTTATAAGCGATAGAAAGTTGGACGTTTAAGAGGGTCGATTATGTTGGAAGCCAGAATGATGGATGCAGTGTGCGCAACTCTTGCAAGCCGCTCGTTTATTGTCTCAATCATGGAATACTCATACGAATACAACTCGTGCTACTAATTTTCCTGGAAATATTCGTCGATTGACATACTCCAGCTTGCTGCTTTAATTTCGCTCATGACATTGTCCCAAAGTTCTCGCCTACAGCTCGAACGTTTTAATAAACAATGTCATTCGGCTAAATTATTAGGCGACCTAATTTCAAATGAATTTTCATTTCGTAACTAAATGTGGAATTTTCCCAACCCTAGCCAACGGTGGACATCCGGCGAACAAACCCGCCAACGGTGGGCAGCTGGTCAACTTGAACGGGCCGACCAATCAGAACAGAGAGAGCATATACGGGTCGCCCAACAACCATCTGCCCACGTACGCGGAGGAGGGCAGCCGACCGTACGCGAGCAACGGGCAGCCGAGGATCGCGACGAATTATAGGGGATATTCGCAGCCGTACACTTGCGTGAGTATGGTTTGGTCCTTGAACTTAATATAAACACCTGGAAGGGAGACGGCTGTTCTCTCGAATAGCACAAAGTGTGTCAGGGGCAGCTGCAACAGAGATAGTATGTTTTACGGTAACCTGTCTCTTTTCTACTCGTGTCGTCTAACGGTGGATTGGTGTTTACGTTTTAGTTTTAGTTTTTGTCTGATCATATGAGTAAATTGTCCTTTTGAAGACCATAGTTCAGGTGCTAGATCAGTATAAGATGCAATGGTAACAAGTATGCACCAATATATGGTGGTTCTGAAGTCTCTTTCATATTACCTCGTAAAAGCCTCATGAGGACTTACTGTATTTATCGTCATCATTAGTATGAAAAAACTTTTTATCGAATCTATGGCAATTCTACAGTCTCTTTCATATTTCCTCGTATAAACCCCATGAAAAGTTACTGTATTTAGGTATACATTTCACAATTTTCGACAATGACCGACAGTATATTTCTTTTTCGGAACATAGTGATTTTCATCACGTTTAAACATATTCTTCTTCATCCCGGGACAATCTGGACATAATTTTCATCGCACCTTGTATATCCATCGTCAAAAATAAATAAACATTTCATACTTCTGGAACTACAATCGTAATTTTTAGAATTTTATAATTTATCTTAACGAAAATGCATCATTTTGATAAAAAAAGCGTACATTCATTATATGACCTTCGATCCGAGAAATTACAAAACCATTTCGAAGTCAGACACCAGACATCCTAATGACGAAGTAACACTCCATTATTTCACTAGTAACACAGAAAATTATGTTCGATGTACTGAAAACTACGTTATTCTCCATTCCATCATTCAGTATTTCTTGTATCACTTTAGACTTCTTCAGAATTTTTTATGTTTCAACACAATCACATATCCTACGACTATACATACAACGTTGATTCTTCGAAAAATGATTCCAACTTCCAATTTCATTCAATAAATCGTCGAAAAAATGCATCATTTTGAATGAATATTCATAACACGATTGTCAAAGCTCTGAATTTGAAAATTCCGAACAAATTTCGAGAGAAAGCAACAATCAAGAGTATACAGGTGAGAAAGAAAATTATAAAAATTATCTGTTCAAACGGTAAGGTAACGACCACGATGCAATTTCACACCCATTCAATCATCACCCTGTAGCAATGTTATCTGAAATTACAGAAGTTTCATATTGCCAAAACAAACTGTCAAGAGATTAGGCTAATCATCAGTGAAAACCGATTTCAAATTGGTAAGGAATTTCGTAAGTTATTCTACTTTGAATTCAGGCTATATTTTGGTCCACGACGTTATCAATGTTGACCAGTTTATATAAGGGTGTTTCTTCAGTTTTATTAATAGTTATTTAACCAACTAGTGTATCAATGAGGGCGATTAATGATCGAGATATTTCAACGTGCGAGCGAAGCGAGCGCGTATATGTTCGAGATCATTAATCGCCTTTTAATATAGGAATTGGTTACAAAATTTTTCCGTCGACTATATTTCTCATTTCTCCTGCACTGAAGAAAACTTGGTTCGCGAATTCATCATTCATCCAGTAACTACTAAGAATCACCTAGTAGCCTTGTTACTGACATTAGTGACATTTGACATTTGTCGAAATGATCAACATGGAAAATAAATTCGATGTGCTAGAAAACAGGAATTAAAATCGTTTCAGAAACCTGGAAAGGCCAACCCGTTAACGGAAAATCTTCGATGCAATCCATATTTTCGATTTAAATGCAGATTCCGTAAGTTATAGCATAAACAATGAATGCACGCGGTGTATGTTTGGTTGCCTATAAAACAATCGTGCATCAATAGACAAATTGATCATTAATAGGGGTCATTAATGAACGATTTCATAAACATTAAACTTACTCGTTAATACGAGGTCGACGGAAAACTTCTATTTATTATATGTGTATGCTCATTACCCTGTCCGCTTCCGATTCCAGACGGTAACGTCGTACATAGAGCCGCCCATCTCGTCTAGCATGTACAGCGTGCACGAGCCGAGCAACGGCGGCAGCGGCGGCGGATACGGCGGCGGCGGCAGACAACCCGCTATCTCGCGACGTTTCGAGCATTTAGCACCGGCCGCGGCCTCCCGCTCCGAGACGCATCTGCCCGCCTTGCAGAGCTACAGCCCGACCAATCTCCGGTCCTACACCAGACTCGGTAAGAAATAATAATGAATAATGAAGATGATGGAAAAGCCCTAATTTCGAGTGACAACGAGAAATGAAAAAACTCCACCGGCCCGCGTGAGAGTCGAACTCAAAACCTTTGGGATACATGCCCAACGCTCTGCCAATTGAGCTAACGGGTCATCCTTCGATCAATCGGCAGGAAGGTCGAGTTCTCATCACACACCAGGCGGCTGAATCCCTCCAAATCCAAAAGTCACTCGAAAGGTTCTGAGTTCGACTCTCATGCGGGGCGGTGAAATCACGAAAACGTCCCGAGATTAGGCCCCAGTGTATCATAATATGACTGACTATTGATCAGAAAAAAATGTCTCGAGTTCTGACAACATTGGAAATGTAGACCATAGTGTAATGGTTCCACTTTACACCCTGTGTAAGTTTTATTTTGCCGACTTTTTCAGAGTGTTTTAGCTCTCTGATATCGAAAACCGCATGAAGATCGGTCAATTTCTTCAAAAAATACAGGTCTTCGAAAGAGAGTCAAATTATGAGTGGTCCATTTAGTGTGTTGAGAACTGTATATCAATTTTCTGTCCAAGATTCCGCAGAGTTTTGTTTGGCGTTCAGGATCGTTGGCATTATTAAACTTTTCGTCAGAGGGTCTAAATCATATCAAAATATGCTTCATTAGTCTTAAGAAGAGTTATCTCATTGACAAAGTATCAAATGTGTCGTTGAAAAGACATAATAAAGTAGAATGTAATACAAAAATATAATCGTTAATATACCTAGGTAGTTATTATAAATATAAAACTGGTGTAAAAATAAAAAATATGCTATTCTTTTGGGATGAAAAGAAAGCTACATGTTCGATGACATACCATGTGTGCGTGTATCATGATGGCCTTTTTCTTAGAATTATAAAAAAAGAAAACAATAAAAACGTTCTTTTGATTTTCGCAGATCCAAATAGCACAAGTAGTTCTAATGAATCGCTGTCTTCCACCTCACGGGACGGCAACATCATCGTAGGCGGCACACCAAAGAAAAACGAGAGGTCTTCCATTTATTTGGCCTATCCAAAGAGCTACAAATCGCCAGGATTTGTGTAAGTGCTTCGATTTTCTCAATCCTTTTGTAGTTAGTAGAAAAAAAACTTTGGAAACTGTTGCTTATGTGTTGTGGCTGTCTTGTTTCAAAATGCATAGATACTTTACCCATCGCTTTTACTAATGCTTTTGTTTTTTGTTCTTGACATTTCGACTCTATATTATATTCATTAATCTGTTATATTGAGTTGAACTTTTTTTCACTCTTCTAACTTCTTATTTATTTACTGTGTTAGGACGCAGCATTCTTCTTCCTCTTTAATTACTAACACATCGCCTGGGAGGGCTAGTCCGATACTAAACAGAGTAAGGTAAGGACTAACAATACAAACCCTATAATTGAAGAAATAATATGCATAATCACAATTTTCACCACTTGTTTGAAACATAATAAAATGTCTTAATAATAATCTGCATCAGAATAGTATTCAGTATTTTGATCCAGAGCATTGGGATATTGTCGGATGATGCCAAGGTGATCCGATTCAGGATGATATTTTATTCAGCTTCATAAATTAATTATCACTATTTCGCTTTTTTTTTTTTCAGGCGAGTGAGAACTTTATATGCCTGTTTAGGTGAAAATGATGGAGAACTTTCCTTTGAACCAAACCAGATAATCACCAATGGTAAGTTACTTAGATCTTATAGCAATAACATGGTGATTTTTCATTCAGTGATGCTCAAATTAAAATAATAGAACTTGCTACACCAACAATGACACTTTTCTAGTGATGCTGCCATAATTTTTTTAATGCTTGTTCACTTTCCAACAAGTGAAAGATCTAAAGTTGAAAAGACCCTTTGTTAAGAGTTATCCTAAGATGCAAATGAAAACTATTAGTTATACTAGTTAAAAAGAACCTGAGGAGAAAGAATTCAAAAGAGGTAGAATTTGCAGCTGTGAAGGAGAAAATAAAGCTGTAACAAATACATTTAGAAAATGAAAATATAAAATAAGTAAGATTAGAGGATTCCTATTTTTTTATGTTAACGTTATAATTCATCGATAAAAATAATGACTTGTAGCCGTTTTTGATAATTTATTAAAAATGATAAGTATTTCTTGATGATGGTTCTTTTTTGACAAGTCAATCAATATTAATTTCTTAGATACCACTAAATATAACAAAATACGCCTACATTATCGAAATTTGTTGAAATTATTCAAGTGTGGTCAAATTCACTATGTATATTTAGCATCTATGTTGTAGGTACTATTTAGAAATCCACATTCTATTGTAGCTTCTTTTAGCATTGGGGGATTAGTCATTTCTTTTCTGCTTCTGAATTGAAAAATCATTTACAGCTACCCTTATTATTTGTGGGCATGAAGATTCTTCAAACATCACGCATCTTTACATCAAATGATATGGTATTCTCTTCAATTTCAATTGGGACGACAGTAATTTTTTCATCTGCAGATTGCATTATTTCGACAAAAAAAATGCACCCTGTTTATGCGGCAATAATTTCAAGTTATGGACCTTGTTGTCTCATACACATTATATTTTGAAGCATCATTCTAGCTATAATAGAACTCAAGCAATCAAGCTCCATCGCACTATTGCCACACCTTGTATTTTAGCATCCTCAATTCAACTTAGCTATAACCCTATTACAAATTAAACGTCATTTTTTGTGTATTCTCAAGGATCTTCTTATCGTTTTCACAGTTTAATACACGTCTAACCTAGGAACCAACGTGATGTCTTTTCAACTTCTTGTAACCGACCAATCACCAGGCATTTGTAGTGATAAAAAGCTACCAAGCTTGCACTTCGCTTTCAATCAACACACTTACATACTTTGATAACTTAACACAACATTGTTTCTTTCCCAAACCAAACTGTCTTATACTGTAGTCGTGTATTAATCTCCCTAAAACAAATTCGAGAAATGTTTTTTTTTATAAATAGATTTCGAACTATTCAAATCTTTCTCGCCAAGCTTCCATCTTATGGCTTGCCTCCCCAGCTATGTTCTCTGCTAGCTAGTTTTCTCTCAAACAGGTCTCTCCAGGTAGTGGTCGACGGAATTTCATCTGACTCACTTATCATGAATGCTGGTGTTCCGCAAACATCAATTCTAGCACCAACACTATTTCTACTCCATATCAACGATTTGTTGAAAGCAACTTCATGTCCAATACACAGCTAGTACCCTCCATACCACCTTCTCTTCCAGGGCTCCAATACCAGCGAGGCAAATCAGAAAAGAACGTGGGAGAAATATTGTCAACATAAATATGGACTTGGCAACAATTCTCGAATGGGGATCCAATAACTTGGTAGATTTCAATGCAAACAAAACGCAAGCATGCTTTTTCTCTCGAAAAGCCGATCTCACTGTGCCCAACATAAGCTTGTCAGGAGTAACCATACCTTTGAAGACAAGACATCCATTTCGATGCTTGGTATTTCTATCAGCAATAACCTTCCTTGGGAAAATCACGTGAGATCAATTGCTGAAAGTGCATCCCAAAAACTTGGTTTTCTGTTTCGGGCCAGGATCTATTTCACTTCTAGTCAGCTGCTTATGATCTATAAGGCACAGCACCCAAACATGCCCTGAAACTGTTGGATTTTGCCAAAAAAAGGGCAATCCTCGCTCACAGACTCACTCACTTCTCTGGAACACCGTAGACAAGTTGGTGATCTGGCTCTATTTTATAGATTTTTTCATGGACGATGCTCTTCTTAAATATCAACAATTGTTCCACCCTTGGCAGTCCCCGAGAGATTAACCCGTCGAGTTGAGGCTTATTCGCATTCCTTCGTGGTCACTTCGGAGACCTGCATATCATCTCTTTCCAAAGACTCGTTCATCCAACGAACAGCGAGGCTCTGGAACACATTGCCATGGGAGGTGTTCCCCGAGGCATATAACCTCTAGAAATTCAAAAAGAACACCAATTCCTACCTTATTTCCCTTGGTTCTCACGAAGTTCTCTGAACATCACAGGATATCCCTTTTCGTGGGAACCAGAACATAAAAAAAATCTAAACGAGAATCCTCATTATCCTCAATTCCTTTTCCAGTCCGCACCTCCCCGGAACCGGGCTGGCTGCAGGGCACCCTCAACGGCAAGACCGGCCTCGTGCCCGAAAACTACGTGGAGGTGCTGCCCTGACCGAGCGCCGGCTCTCTATCCAAGCTCTCCACCGCGCTGCGCTACGGCCTGAGCAGAGCGCTGCATCTGGACGGCGCGCCGCAGCCGCCCGACGTGACTCGCGACGTTGCCGGTTGGTGCGCGCGCAGGCAGAGCGCGGACGGGGCGGCTGCCCGGGCGGTCATGGTCAGGCAGGGTAGCGTCGAGAGAAAGAGCTCGACTTGAACGGTGACCGTGTGGGGGGTACGGAAGGGAGGGTAGAACGATGAGAGGAAACATGGTGGGCCCACTTCTCACTTAATCAATTATTGTTTCGTCAGACTGGTACTGGATGCGAACATTCCAACAAATTATAGTTTGGTAAAGGTGGATTTATGCAGCTACATTTAACAATTTTCAAGAAACTTTTTTCAAGTGACAATTATTTTCAATCAACTAGTGATAAAATATGGCCATTTATGCATACCCAATTAATAAGCGCACATGCCCGAAGTCTGGGCTATCAAAACAATAATCTCACAAATTGAGCTACTTTTCTTCACAATTATGTTATTGACTGCCAATTTTTCTATGTTGAAACTATTTCAGGTTCACTTTCATTATCTGTCAGATAAAAGGTCTCACCAAACTCACGCTGTCTCTGTCAATTGATGAAACTTATCCGCGGTCAACGGCCTACTAGTTGTGCACTAGAATTAAATTAAAGTAAGAACATTAAAAGCTGAAATTTGGCCAACTTCTTACTCGTTTTTTTTTTCAGGTATTTTGAGAATCTCTCCTTGTTTCTATAAAAATATCAGTGATATCAGATTTGCCCCAAAATGTCACTGCCACTATGTTCAGAAAATGTTCCTATCAGACAGCCTGAAAGAAAAATTCAAACGATTGTCAGTGACACTTGTGTGTAAAAACTGTAAATAATATTCATCAAATTTTTGGAACTTATTATACTTTCCAATTATTTTCAGATACCAGTGTTTACACTTCTCATACTCACAATAGACGACAGTATTTATTCTTACTTGTTAATTGATAATTGCTAAATGATTAATGTTACTTGATGATTGTCAAATGTTGCTGCATAAATCCTGGCTTTCTGAATTTTTAGCAACTGCGAGAGTTCATTTGGGACCCAATATCCATTGTAAATAGTGTATGCTTAGGGTCAGTCACTTTTTCGTTCATTACATACAGGGTGTGTCATAATTCTTGGAGTATCATAATGTGTTCCAGTTTTATGTTTCAAAATTTACGGGAACACGAATTCTACATACAAGACGTTTCAGATTTACCACTACTGTGGAAAAACACATTGTTCTTATTGTACTCCTTCAAGCATTAGCTTTTCTGGATTAAATTTACCATCTATATACATATATTTATCTATCTATCAGTTTGTGAACATTCCAAGAGATAACATCCAGGTGTTGGTTAACAAAATGTGACTAGCCTTCCATACATAATTCATTTGAATTTTCTTATTGGTGAGGGGTTTTCCAATAGGTAAATTAAATTTCCTATATTCAACCTGAAACGTCAAATTTTAGGTGAATTGAAAAAACCTTAAGTGATTATTTGTTAGTATAATATGGTACAAAATTATTAAACCATTGGGAATAATTGTTCTCATTATATTGTATGGATGGGTGAACATAAGTGATGGATATTATGAAAAGAATTCGCCAGTATTTTTCTACGACTTGGTAACTCGTGATTGTATAATCGTCTCAACTTGATGGAAAAAAGTATATGTGATCTATAATGTTCTTTTATTTTTTCTTTATCAATAAGCAATCTGTTTAGATATAAGTTTTGAAAGAGTGAATTGATGGAGTATTGAGTAAGTTTCACATCAAAAACATTTTAAAAACCCCATAATTATCTATATCAGGTATAGTATTTTGATTTTTATAAGTTTGTTTGGATTATGATGGCCTTTCTCGTCAGTACCAGCATTCAATATCAATTATTGAAATAGAAATAAATTATTTTGGAATAGTATGTTGTCACCTTACATATCACATAGAATAAACACATCCAGTACTACAAATTGAATAAAAAAGTACCTATACAAGAATACCAAGATCATTTCCAAAACTGCATTTATAGTATATAAATGTAAATTAATTTCAGATTCATACCGGTTGGTCCAGAATTGTGCTGATTTACTCCTTCAACTTCCTGCACAAATTAATATCAATTTCAGTCATGAAACCTCAAGTAGTTTTCCGAAATCAGTTGACAGTTGACTTGTCTGAGAGTTTATGTTCCCCAAAGCTCTAGCCACCCTCCCACCTGACTTGAATTTTATTAACATATTGAATTTGTTCTAAATTTTTGTTCTAAAATTTGTTCTATCCGTCATTCGGTTGCCCCCTTACGAGCAACCCTCAAAAGTCTTCGAGAGTCTTGTGCGAGCAAGGAATGACGGGGGCCTTACCTTTTAACGTGTGATCCCAAACACTTTCTTGGGCCATCAGAAAAATTTCTGCAGTCGACGGGGATCGAACCCACGACCGGCAGCGAATGCGAATTAGAATATAGACACTCTGTCCGCACGGCTACCTGGCCACCATGAACTTGTTTTATCTTATTTATATTCCTTTCTTTAGTTCCACTATTCTTGGACCTTCCAGTATAATATTTTACTGTAAGTGAACGTAATCTGCACATATTTCTTTTATTTTGTTCGGCTTCGGTAGCTCAGTCTTGTATAAATGAACTTTATTTCACAAATCCACGCCGTTTTTAGCACACGGCCTGTTATCAAATTTTTGTTGTGTTTTTACACGTTCTGTGATAGTTCAGACTGGCACACATATTGAAATAATATATTTCCTGTATATTGCCATTTATATATACATTATCATTACCTATTGGGATTTTTAATTTATTAGTGGGACACCATAAAAAAATCAGGAATGATTACCACTTTATTATTATCTGATTTCAGTTCCTACTATTATTGCTTGTTTCAAGAGTGGCCTAGCCCTTCAAAATATTCATGGTTCAAATCCTGTGAGATTTATTTGAGCCACAAAAAAGAATTGGACGTTTTTTTTTTTTTATTTTTTTTATGTTTCTTATGAATTTGTGTCTTCTATAAACTAAGCTAGCCACGGAAACAGAGCAGCAATTTATAGAACGATTGAAACCACCTAATCAGTCTGACTTAATACCATTATTAATTGATGTGGGCGCCTGGCAGCTTTTCATTGGTGGGGATGGGCGTGGTACGGCCGTAAAGGGGTTGAAAAATCAATTGAAGGTGTTCAATTTATAGAGAGCTGGTTTTTGGTGTGATTGTAGCTAATCATGTTCAAAATTCGAAAATAATATTGCCAGGCGATTTGCCAAAGTCGTCTCATTTATAGAGGGCTGGGACTAAAATTTTTAGTTACATTTAACCCTCAGGATAGTGTGTGTAAAATGACAGGCGGAAATATTGAGCCGAACACCTTTCCAGGCGCCGATAAAGAGCGACGAGCGAGAAGTGCGCGCACGATAGTTAATCAGAGGCTACAGTTATTTTTTATTATGAACTTTGTATGTCATGCTATTGTTATGGATTAAAGAGAGTACATTTTTTAATCATTATTCTAAGCAGTATTAACATTCACTAAGTTAATTGTTTATTGTTTATCAATCAATCAAATACACGGTAACAGAAACGCGTTTGCACAACAGCTGCCGCTGCTGCTGCTGCCCCTCCACATTGAACGGACTACCTGAAAAAGGGCCTGTTGAAATGTGGTCTTCAGTCTGTTTTTTAATATTCATTATATAGAATTGATATGTTTTTTTCATAACCAGTTATAACAGTTATTTCAATACATAAATATTCAGAATAATTATCAAGATTTCTAGCCGTTTCTGTTACCGTGTTTTTGATTGATTGGTAAAAAATAAACAATCAACATAGTGAATGTTAATACTGCTTAGAATAATGAAGAAAATAATGATTAAAAAATGTACTCTCTTTAATCCACAACAATAGCATGACATACAACATACAACGTTCATAATAAAAAATAACTGTAGCCTCTGATTAACTATCGTGCGCGCACTTCTCGCTCTTTATCGGCGCCTGGCAAGGTATTCGGCTCAATATTTCCGCCTGTCATTTTACACACACTATCCTGAGGGTTAAATGTAACTAAAAAATTTAGTCCCATCCCTCTATAAATGAGACGACTCTGGCACTTTTTTACGCACCTTTAACGCCACCTGGCCCTACTTTTGCCCCAAGCAAATCGCCTGGCAATATTATTTTCGAATTTTGAACATAATTACAATCACACCAAAAACCAGCTCTCTATAAATTGAAAACTTTCAATTGATTTTCAACCCCTTTACGGCCGTACCACGCCCATCCCCACCAATGGAAAAGCTGTCAGGCGCCCGAATCAATTAATAATGGTGTTGAGTCAGACTGATTAGGTGGTTTCAATCGTTCTATAAATTGCTGCCCTATATCCGTGGTAGTTCTCCGTCTATATAGTTTGTAAATTTCGTGTAAGCCACCTGAAATATGTCTGTTCCAATTAATGTATAGAACAAATCATAGCAATATTTTTTACCTTGTACTGGGACCATTCCCCACATAATAACACCAATTTCTCATATCACAAGTGTGACTGCCGATGGTGAGAAAAAAAATTATGATAGTTACCGTTCAGTATGTCGGAGTTATTTTAGCAGTTTTAAGAGAAACTCCAAAGTCTATCGAATTGATCAAACATTTGAGGACTTTGTTGTTGATGTTATATTTTAAATATCGGTTTTTTTAATATTGTACACATTTATTTGTGATATTTTTATGTCTGTTCACCATTGATATATTTTATTGTACAATTCAGTTATCAGAATAATATATTACTCTTCTATATATCTATGTAATATATTTATGTAATGTATATATTCTATTCGTTTGTTAATATTTTGTCTATTTCACTCCCTAATGTAAAACTGTAATTGTAATGATTGTTGTAATACTATTTATGAATAAAACAATAATGGAAAATGCATTGATCATTCCTACCTGTACGTAATACATATGATGTCAGAGTTAGGAATAATAGGGATCTTAGGCTAAGTTACCCTTTTGAACTCTGTCCATTCAACAGGGTGCTCTTGTTTCAGTTTCCTAGATAATCGTATACGACCTTGAGAAAAATTGGGTTATTAGATCGGAACGTTTTTTATTAAATTTTCTTTTATTAATAGTTTAACAAATATAAAATATGTATACTTTTCCTAACAAATACTTAATTTATCATAATTTAATTAAATAAACAATAATTAAATAAAAGTCGGTCATAGTCATAATACTTACAGATATACCAATAAACAGTATATGAATATACAACTGTATCACATTTTTGGTAATTCATTTCACTTTTTTGCCTATTCACAAAATCTTTGCATCACCTATTTCTTCCGAAACAAGTGACGTTTGAAACTACCCTAAAATAATCTACATCTGGTATAAATAAGCAGTACGACCCCCAAACAAGGCACTTCTCCCAATGGAACATCAAAATAACCACGACAATATCATAATAGTAGGAGAGCCAGCTGCAAATTTCAACCGTCGTCTGATAACGAAATGACATAAATGTTCCCAAGGAATGTAAAAACATTGTAGTTTATTATGGCATCGGCATAACGTTTTATTTGTTAGTATTGTTCCGGACGTACTTGCGCCACGTGATTCTACCTGATGATCTAAGTTAGTGGCAGTGCGTCCGAGAATATTTCGCCCCTCTCGAAAGATAATATCCGATGAACCAGGACAGCGAATCAATTTTCCAGCGTAAAACTTGAATACTTGTCAACGTTTTACTTGGTCCATTGGATATATACAGGGTGAGTCGATAGTGTGTTCTCCTTCGATATTAGCCAAACCATCAGGTGTATACAAAGATTCGAATACAACAGTTATTGAATTTTATGAGAGCTATCACCTAAAATTATTTACATATCTATTGGATGTTCGAATTCCAAGATATCGGGTGATGATGCGTGTTTTTGAATGGGACCATGTATATTATCGTATTTTTCAATTTTTCCTGTAGAGCTGATTTCATCGATGTATAACACATGGGGTCTAGCGGAAATGATAACAGAGATATAGGGTGCTCAGAATCGAAAATTTTCAAATTTGGGATTTTTTTGTGTCAGAACTATTCATTATTGGTCGAAACGGCTTACATGTTCCTATCTCAACGTTTTACAATCTACTGAAATTAAATTGGAATAGATACAGGGTGATCAGAAATCTTGAATTTTGAACCACCCTGTATTTTTTCCAATTAAGTGTCAGTAGATGGTGAATCAAAAGTTGAGATAAGGACATGTAAGCCGTTTCGACCAATAATACATAGTTTTAATACAAAAAAAATCACAAAGTTGAAAAATATAGATTTTGAACACCCTATATCTCTATAAACATTTCAGCTAGTCCCCAAGTACGATACATTGATGAAATCTCAAGGGAGAACCTAAAAATGTAATAATATACAGGGTGTCTCATTTTAAAACACCCATCATCAACCGATATCTTGGAATTCGAACACCCTATAGATATGAAAATCGATTTTTTTCTATATATCTGACGGTTTGGCTAATATATAAGAAGGAGAACACACTATTGACTCACCCTGTATATCTAGAGGGGCGAACAACTCTCGGAAATATTGAAGCAATGCGACTAACATAGATCATTTTGAATCGCGTTTGGATATTCGCGAAGAGGAAATTATCCCATTTTGTTTCAACTCGATATCATGTGACGGAAGTCCCGAATAACGGCAGCAAAAAAATCTATGTGCGGGGATTTGTCTCACGATATTAAGGGGTGGCATATAATTCTTATCTCGTTATCAAATCGCGGAATTGAGGGCAAATTACCGCACAATACAGTACAGGGTGTCCAAATTCGAGGGGTATTATTGGGATCTCGCCATCTTGGTAACCATAACAGATACAAAAGTCCGTTAAATTTGTGGGCAATTTAATGCAGATCATAATGCTGCCTCATAAGTTTGGAAGTTCCGAATACTCCGGAAGAAAATAAATATCTGTGATTTTGGTTTCAATTTCTTATGACTTCTGAAGTAATATGACTAAATGAGTTTTATATCATGATTGAAAAAAATCATTTCTCAGAATTAGAAACTACCAGAATACCTTTTTATTCCATTTAACTAAGCCATTTTTCCTTCTCTACAAGTTTACGTTTTCCTCCTAACCATCATCAAATACCTCTGATGACGGTTTTTCGGTTCGAAACGTTGGATAATTGTGAAGTTCAATATGGATTCAGAATTGGAATTAGGGTTTTCAAGGACCAACAAAAATTCTTTGACCATTTGAAAACCGAAGTTGATGATGGCTTCTCGGAGACGAAACGTCGAATCACAAATCTATCAAAACCATTGGATAGATAGGAAGAAATGACAATAATAATGACTCATTTTGTCATATCACTTCGAATGAGGCCAGAAAAAAAATAAAAACAAAATTGCGGAATTTCGGTTTTTCCTTATATCTTCGGAAGTACCTACTCAAAATGTTCAAACTTTCGAAGCGGGATTATAAGACTGGCCGGTAGTGACAGGTTGTTTTGCAACGTTTTTTTTAATGTATGCAAATTTCAAGTAATGATTTTAGAACAATTATCAATTTGTGCTCGCATGAGGCGGCGTCACCAATCAAATTTGAATTTTCATTGAAAATTGATGATTTCGACAGATTAGTAAATACATGCAAATTGATTCTTGTTGAAATTTGAGAAAAATGATACTGCGGAAAAAATTTGCATGTTGAAAACTCATGAAAATCATTACTTGTAAATTTTTTTTTTTTATTTATTTACGGACAGATCCATTACAAGAATTGTACAATATAAACAATTTAAAAATACACATTAAAAACCATTCATTCATGTGATACATTATATAGGTACACATCTAAACATATAGGTGATTAAAAATGAAGAGCATCACAGAGCAAGGCGCCTTCCCACTTCAGAACTGAAGGCAGAGAAGGTTATGCCAAAATAGTGCAAATTCATAAATTGCATACATTAACAAAAACTTTGCAAAAAATCTGTCACTATGATCAGCATCAAATTGGGCAACTTTGCCGTAATCCATACGTTATTTCGTTTTCAAATCGATGACGGTCGAAATTTGCAGCCGGTTCTTGGACTATAAGTAACAAAATAACGAACTTTCTCCTGATCTGATCCGATCGACTCACGTGTCCAAATCCTCTAGCGCGAAACTGGGGATCCTGTATTTGTTGGTCCAGGCCTCCGAGGGCCTTTCTGACTCCGGCCTGGAATCGTTGTTGGTGCTGGAATCGTCTTCCGGCTCTTCCACTTTGAAGGTGCCCGTCCATTCGCTCTCTGGGTCCGAGAAGAGCGTGCTGTTATTGTCCACGATGTCTTCCAAGTCGTACTCGGACATGTCTGCGACAAAAACCGAACGGTCAATTCATGCTTGATGACCGGCACGAATTCGTTTTGTCCAAGAACGTCCGTGCAGACGATCAGGTAGACCAATCAAAATGTGCAAGAACTAATTTATTTATTTATCTATTCATTCATTGAATCAAGTAAAATCTATATTTTGTCATCGAATATCAATTACATGTATACAGGGTGTCCCAAATTTGCTGGGACACAGAGCTACCACGTATGGAGGAGGTCAAAATAAGTTGATTGGAACCAATTTATTTATGTGCCAAAATGTACCGTTTCTCCGTGAGAAGGGTTCAAAGTTCACATAATGAAACACATTGTTGTACTCTGTTCAGAAATAAGTGGATCGAATTTGATGAAATTTGGCAATAGTGTATTTCAGAGGATAACTTTCCATTTGGCAATCGAAGAAACCTAAACGAAATTGTAGAAGGGTTAAAACCACCTCACCCCCTGACAGTTTTTTCAGAACTTTTTTAGGAGTCATAATACGGTTCTGGAATATTTTGAGCTTGAAGAATAATCAATTACCTTCATTATATTACTCTTGTAAGAATTTTGTATACCGCATAGTTTCGAAGAAAAAAAAATGTTCTCTCAAATAATGCTACCAGATATTCCCAGTAGAAGTTTAATTAAATTGTGATATAAAACTCAGTTGGCAGTGGAAACGAAGGCAAGTCGTGATTTTGACAGGAAACAAATTTATTGTCATTCAAGTTTGTTGTTGACGTTGTCTGTAAATGTTTTGATAAATTATTCAATTTTGTTATTACCGCGAGTACCATTACCGACCATTTATTATTATTTGATTGTTGGTGTTATTTCAACTGCTATCAAATATGGATTTTTCTTATAATAAACAGACAGATATGATCTTAGTTCTTGGATTTTGTCAAGGTAACTGTCGCAGAAGTGTCCGCGTATACCAAGAGAGATATCCAAACCGGAAACCAAAACTTTTGGCTGAATTGAGAGACGTCTTCGAGAAACAGGAATGTTGAAACCAGTCAGAATTAACGCTGGAAGACCCCGAGTCTAAAGACCTAACACGGAAGAAGCTGTTCTTGAAATAATCAATGACAATGACTGTGAATCGGATCTGCAGAGAACAATTAATTCATCCATTTCATATACAGTTTGTGCAAGAGTTACCACCACTTGACCACGGATCACGTTCAAATTTTTCACGGATTGTTCGGGAGCGCAGACTACTTGACAACAGATTTCACACTAATATCCAAATTCGATCGAATTCTGATAAAGCCAGAAGCAAACTAAAAGTAATTCTTATCACGGATTGGCGCATTCACTCCATAACAAATTACAAAGAAATGAGTGCATTTACTGGACTATTTGTTCGATTTCGATGTTTGAGTACTCATTCTCTTCAGAAATGAATAGAAAATCTGATTTTCTTTTTTCTCCAGCGGTTTTTGTAAATGACAATACTTTGCGTAGAATCCACCATTTTGTTTTTTTTTATTATGGGATTTTCAAATATTCCAACCGAATTCGGTTGAGAAATGATGAAACCCCGAGGAAAATAAAAACTTCCGGTTTTTTTGTGACGACCCGATAGATTGTAATTGAGTGTGATAAAACATGATTATTAAATATCTACTGACAATATTCCGCAAAAGTCTGAATTTTGGAAGGGTACTTTTGAGTTTCTTCGTCGTGGACGGATGTAGGGCAATGCGAAAGAAGTACCTAATCTTTCGAACCATTCCCATCAGGTGATAGATTGGGATTATTATTTTTCGCAATAAAATTATGGAGGCTGAGTTTGGTCAGGGAGTTTTATTCTGGTCCATTTTTAGCAAGGCGTCAGCCCACGAGCGAATGCGCATGCGTCCATGATGTATCACGGTGATTCATTGTGACTAGAGTCACTGGATGTTATTTGTTTGATAAGAGTTCGGACACAGAAATGACAACGGTTAGGGTTTTTGAGTGTTTAGATTTATTAAGTTTCACACCTTGCATTGTGACAAGAGCACCATAGTCGTCCTGCGCTTTTTCATTCAAAATTGTTTGAATTTGACAATACATTTTATAAACGTCAGAATTGAAATAAAATTTCATAATTATACATTCGAGATGAAAGCAGCTATGGAAATTACTTGCTGTGTAATAAATTGTGCCAATTCTGAAGAAAATGGATATCATTTATTCAATTTTCCGAAACAAATATCAACCATTCGCATATGGAAGGAAGATATGAAATGGCCTGATGGGTGCAAAATCAATTTGAAGACGAGCGAAATTTGTGAGGTACTCATTAAAATTCACTTTTCATAACAGCATCTGATTAGAATGAAACTATATTTTAGGCCCATCTTCAAACAGAAGATTTCAAATTCTGTTTGTGAGAATCTGCTGTTCCGTCAATTTACAAAGCAGGCGATTTCGAGAACAAATTTCCATTATTATCATCACACAAAATACAAAACGAAATGATCATGGAAAAGAGGGAATGATCGCAAAATTACATAATGAAATTGAGAATTTGAAAACGAAACTAAGAAAAGCAAGTAAACTACAGAGTGATATATTATTGAATGGCGTTTTTGGTGCCGACCAAATTTAAAATTCAACAGTGGACAGTGAATAGTTATTCATGTACCTATCAAGGGAATTATTATAAGGGCCTTAATTACGCTGGAGGATAATGTTTTGGAGATATTTTCTATATCGATCCATGTTACTTATTAGCTCCTAGGGCGCTAAGTGGAGTTGCTGAGAACTTTACAAAACCAAGTATTTGGTAGGTCTCGTCAAAATAAACTACTTTTTTCCTATCAAATGTTTATCGAAAAATGATTTGTTCTTTGTATTTCAGCACTCTGTATCTACGAAATGATGCATTTCCGGACACAAAAGCTTATATAGACTATTTCTTATAATTGTCTCAGGAATACTTCACTTGAAAGTACTTATGTTACTTCCTGTATATTGAGAATATCTATCTATCATGTTTTATACTCATCACTGGAGTACAGTTTCACATATAATAAGGAATTATAGCTATAAAAGTTCATCCATATTTTCTAATATTAAAATGTTGTTACATGCATTCTTTTCATTCATATAACAGTTGTTCTGTAAGAAGTGTATCACTATAAATTGAATTGGGTGTTTGTACCCTATACCCATTGTCCATCTACGGCTATGATTGATTTGACAGAAAATATAACCTCTAAAATCGTATCTGACAATCAGGCACTACTAGGGAAATTGAAAAGACAAAGAGCCGAATATATGTCTTATTCTTTTATTCACCTAAACCATTGTATTATAGAAAATAGAAAAGGACAAAAGTTCAGCTGTGTCCGAACTCTTATCAAACTAATACCATCCAGTGACTCTAATTGTGACCAATCTGACAATGAGGTTTGGGAATGGTTCAAAAGCTTTAGGCTTTAGTAAAACGAATTCGTAATGACCGATGTTTGAAAAGTTTTCTTAATTGTATTTCCTAAAAAACTGATCCATCAGACATTTATGAAATGTTCATGGATTTTATAATTCCGTATTTTTTCATAGATGGCTAGCATAGCTTGCATGAATTTTATTCTTTCTATCCCTTGAAAATCCACTTTTTTAGCCTCGCTGTTGGCGAAAAAATAATAAGAAACCTTCAATCCAGAACTTGAACTGAATTATTGCATCAATAACTTACGGTCATCCATGGTTTGCTGGTTCATGTACGAGGATTCATCCCATCCATCATCAAACTCCAGATGCTGATTGATATCACGCTCCTGGGAACTTTGAACGATTGGAGAATCGCTATCCGTTACGTCGAAAATTTCTGTGACTTTAACCTAAAAATTAAAAAAAAAGTTTGTTCACTATATGGAAAATGCCCAAGTCATGAGGAATTTATCTCTGAAGTCTAAAGAACAAATGAATACTAATTTGAAAACAGGTATATACGATGAATTGTAATAACTTCAACATGAAATATGTATATTGGACAAACACATCAAATCATAGGCACGAGGTTTAAATAACATATTGCTCACATCACTTTGACAAAGCAAGTATTGTATTTATATCAACTGCAATAGTGATCAGTAAAAGTACCAAAATTTAAGTTCCATCTCTAGTTACAAACTATTTGATTTACGTTAACACGATGTTAATTAGATCGAACAGTGAAAAAAATTTAAAATTGACAAAAAATATTTCCCATAAATATTACCGTATTATTTTCGTCCAAATAATAGTAAGCCATGATGGTGTCGTGTTGGGACGTAACCTGCAAAATGTGTTCGAAAGTGTCATTGTCCATCGTGTCGCTCCTGTTCACAGTGAAACTCGGTTTCCGGTGCAGAATATCCCTGGTACGGAATTTGCGAGAATGACTCTGAGCCAATGGTAAATCACTGAAAGAACAAAAAAATATATATATTTGTGGAAATATTAACATTTTGCAGAATATTCTGTATTCTGTATTTCTTGCGAGAAACGGGAACAGGCAATTAAAAATCTTCCCAAGAATATCAAATGAGACCACATAAAAAAAATTTCTTGATGAAAATTTGAATTTATGCATGAGTGGATAAAGATTATTTTTCCAACTGAGACAAAATATCCCTGTTTCTACCATTGACGTGGGGATATAGCGTAAAGAGATTTGAATTTTCATCAAAATATTTTTAAATAGCTGGAAATCATGATAAGATCTCATATTATGTGAAGTTTTCTACATTTACAACGTATTTCTCGCTGGTATTTCCATCAAAAACAGTCGAGTCAATACAAAGATAAGAACATAAAATAGTTTGACCACTACTGAAAAACCTCCAGAAGTGTTCAAAAAGCATGAAACAATGTTCCCAGCGAGCACAAACATCCCTGGGATGTTTTGGGATGTTTTGAAAATGTTGGTATGAGACGTAATATGCACTTACTAAAGAGGTCTTGGAAGGGTATTGAAGTATTGTTTTTGTTTTTCTGTGGCATTTTATCGTTTACCTACTGAGAGGTATCCCTGGGATGTTTTGGGATGTTTTAGAAATGTAGGCATGAGGATGTTTTTTTGAGGCGTAATATGCACTTCCCAAAGAGGTCTTAGAAGGATATTGAAAGTATTGTTTTTGTTCTTTTGTGCCCTTTCTTTGTTTGCCCCACCACAACGTCTCATGCTTACGTCACAATACGATGAATTCTGATTTGTTTTCGATTTTGTTCTTCTTGTTCGCAATTGGCATTCGTGTTTGCAGCGTGTCACGCTTACATCACGCTGCTAACGAACAGAAAGGAATTTGGTGAAGTTTATCGTGTTAGAAGACTTTAAATTTAGTTTGTAATAATGACCATCAGATGCGAGATGTGTTGTTCGGTGCCTCAGTGTAATCAATACATGAAAGTACGAATTCATCAATACACAGCTTCTCCGCAGTTGCAAAAGTTCATTTTGACAAAACGCTTCAGAAGAGTACCTCGAAAATGGTTTTTTTACAGCGATTTAATGTGCGCAAGACGCGTTGAAAATGTTTTGTTGTGTCCATGAAAAGGCTTTAAAAAGAACTAGGGAGAAGGTACTGAAGGTAGTTTTGTGACATATCAAGGACATCTCGATAATTGCCGCCTGCCGCGGACATTGGCTGTTCTATAATAGTTCTATTCATGTGTGAACAGAACATAGCAGTGGAGGTTCAATGTCTCGAAATCTCGTACTTTTAACATCTCTGAGATGTTTTTGTGCTCGCTGTTTTGTTTCATAATCTGACTATGAATGTATAGGGGGTGGTTAGTTGAAGAGGAGTAAAGAGATATGGTATCAATTATGAATCTCACCTATCGTCCAAGTTGAGAGTAAAGTTCAAATTCACTTTGTTCTCACTATTGAGATCCTGACATGCTTCTACATCGAATTTATCTGAAAACAATATCAAGTGTTTAGACGAAATTGTGGAGTTTATCATTCTTGAAATTGTGCAGGAACAATTCTCAATCATAGATCATTGAATTATTGTTTTTTCATGTTTTGAATGTTACACAAATAAATACATCAAAGAATATGATATACTCACTTCCTCCGTATTCTGTAATAGCCAATTGACAGGAGATTTTGGCACTCATTTGTTGACTCTTCCTACTGAATTTTCCAAGAATGTTGCTCATTTTGTCCAAAATGAATTTGCTCAATTCCCATGCCCCGTTGCCGATCTGTGGCGCTGCAGCCATAAACCTAAAAAGACAAAGGAATCAGGGAACTTTCGGTTTGTGTAACATTGTGTAAATTATACAGGGTGTCCCGGTGTAAATTGGCAGGATATCACAGGTCTTTGCCAATCAAAAGGATAGCTTATTTCAAGTTCATACAGGGTGTCCCGAAATAGCATAGAAAGATTTGAACCACAGATTCTAGGCCGCTGGGGGGTTATAGCCTTCTAAAGGGGAGCCTGAGATGATGGTTTTATGTGAATATTTTTTAAACCCTCTGTGATTGAAATTTTGATCATGGGCGTGTTTATGTAATGTTCGTCAGTTTGACCAGGAAATATGAAAATCTCAATAATTTTACTTATAAATAGTATTCTTGTTTCTTTTTGATAGCATTTACCATTTTCGAGATGAATGAATGAATAAAATTCTGCTGCATAGTAAAAATAGTGGGTTACCGAACTTTCCCAAAAATTATGGTTTAATGGAAAATACCCCTTTTTTGAACATCTACTTTTGATGTTGTTTGATTCAAAATATGGTGGTGAAATAAATAGAATAAATTGATAAATAATATGGTATCAAGAAAAGGTACAGGGGTTGTTTTATTAATGTGAACCCTTCTTTATCTTTTTGTTTTTCTCTCATTCAAAAAAATTCAAAGCTGATTTTATACAATTTGAAACTAAACAAGAGTACCATTTTTGAGTAAAAAAGATGATATTCTCAAATTTCCTGGTCGAACTGTCAAAAATTTTAGAGGGTATTTCGCATTTCGAGAGGTGATAAGGCGTGTCGAGAAAATAAAAAATTCCCATAGAAAAAGTCGTAGAAGGCTTCGTTTGCGAGATACAGGGTGTTGAAGTTGAAAATATTTAGAGATTTTTTATGTCCATCCTGTATGGCTTATCTTGGTGGAAACATTTAGTCTGTTATGTGACTGGCATAGTGCCACAATTACAGAATAATATCTATCATGGTTATAGAGTAATCTGAACAGATGTCTTGAATGGACTATCCTGTGGAACTATCCGACATCTTCGGGAATCTACTTCAAATTTCGGAGTTGAATTTGGTTATTCGATTTTTCTCGAACAGTGTATGTGTACGAGTTTCGACATTTGGTGATTTTTTATACAAAAATTGCATCCCTGTTTCATATTTTCAAATGAAATTTCGAAACATTTCATCGCCAGCCATGTTTTATCTGAGAAATCACACATCAATACCCCCTGACGGTGCCACTAGGAATCAGATAGACTAAATAATGCTACCTATTGAATCACTCTCAGGTACTACTATTCAGAATACATTTGGCTGGTATTCGAATACTATTCGAATACATTTGTGTATTTGGTATTCGGTATTCGACTGAATACTTTTTTGGTCAGTACTCGGTATTCTGGATTCTGAATACCGTTTTTGAATCCCAGTATTCAAATACCCACTTTGTATTCAAATCCCGGTATTCGAATCCTGTTTTCGGATACTTTTCGATTATTTCTATGAATATTGCGTTATGGTTAAACGGAGCCGTAGCGATATATTATTGGTCGATCATATATTGCCACGGCTCCGGCTTAAAACAACTTGAGCGTGATGGTTCAAACACGTATGAACACGTTATCGGTGGTTGTGGACGGTGGTGCTTGGTGCTTCTGAATTCGCGATGCCGATGATCGGGTTGAATTTAGTCACTACGAAAACGCGAGATGAGACAGGTGGCTCAAGGACTTCAGAAAAATTAGGTACGTAAATGTACTTGTGAGTATTGTTATTCTAGTTTATAATAAATTTCAATTTCTGTTTAATACCAGTAATAGAACGTATAAAAGGTAAGTTTATTCTTTGATTATGTAGGTGTACTGTGTAGGTTCATTATGTGTAAGATTCATATACAGGATGGCCAATCCAACCGAAAACGAAACAGAGCCATTTGCAGGAGCCTCGAAACCTGTTAAAATTCCAATTATTTTAGTATTGTGGGGTGATTCTTTCCCTCGCTTGAGAGTAATAGAATTTTAACGTTTTGCAGGTGCCGATTATCGATGGAGAGGGATATCGTTACTCAGGATTCCCAGGAAACCATATCTGACGGTTCAGATCCAGAAGAACCGTATGTTGGAGGTTCGTCCGACTCATTGTGACACTTTGTATCAAAAAATTATTTATCAAGTTTTATTTAGTAGAAATTTTCTATTTTTTTATATATTTTTATAAATTAACTACATACATAAATATAAACGAGCTTTATTCAGTTGGAATATTCATAAAATATTCATATGTGAATTAATCCAGGTATTCGAATACAGCGGTATTCAAATACTTTTTTTCTTTGTATTCGAATCTTGAGTATTCAAATACAATTTAGAGTACAGTATTCAGGATTCGTATTCGAATTCCGGATTTCAGTATTCGACCCAAATGAGCATAAAAAGTTAGGCACATGTACAAAATTTGGTTATTTCATCTTAGAGCGTTTAGAAAATGTTTACATAAAACCATCATCTCGGGCCCCTCTTTTAGATGGTTATAACTCCCCATGCAAGGAGTCATTTCTGGACCTATGTTTATATTAACTTTTTTAACTATTTTCGTTCCTATAATCTGTATTTGAAATCTTTCCATGTAATTTCGGGATACACTGTATAGATATGACTTGTTTGTGAGATGAAGGGTCTTAGGGGTCTATTCAGTAACTTATCGTTAAAATACGATATCGTTACGTTAACGATACATTGGCCAACGACATTATGAACGATGAATCCGAGAAGCTAATTCAGTATCGATGTCGTTAGAGAAAACAGATTGTTCTGTGGCTAAAAATGCGTGAAAAGTTTGTCTGTTTTTGAAAGTTTTAGTTTCTTTCCGTTCAACGTTCCAGAAAACAAAAAAATAATATTCCCCTGCTTTTTCATTCAACCTATAGTGCCTATACATTTGGCAAAGTAGCAAATCTCATCTGGCAACCATCAACTTGAATGGTTTGTTTGTTACTGCAGTAGATGTAGATATCCCTTGCTGACTTTGTTGTTGCCCAAAATTCAAAGATATATTGTAATAATATCATCCCAGAATGTTATTTCAAAAATTTTATCATATATGTAAATATACTAGAAATAATAGTATATTACGTAATATGTATTGTAAGAAGCATATTACACACGAATGGAAAAGAAAAGAGCGGAGAGTGCGTAATTCCATGAGTGCGTAATTGATTAATTGATTGATTGCAGAATGATCAGTCAGGGTTTGAAGCCCAAAAACACTGCAGCCTTTGGGAATATTGTATTCCTGATCATGCTGTTGACTCAGGTGAACAGGTTCGCTACCTTGATAAGGTTTAGCAGCCTCTTCACCAAATCATTCGTTGGAAAAGCCTCTTGAGAGTTTACTGCTCCCAGAAGGTTGTATCTCCAACGCGCTAGTGCTTCGCACTCCAATATTACATGGGTGGTAGTTTCCTCCTCCTCATTGCATAGTCTGCATATGGGTTCGTCTGTATAGATGCCCATTTGATGTATATGTTTCCTCAAGGGGCAGTGACCGGTTATTAGTCCCGTCACTTGTCTGATCTGTCTTCTGTTTAGGCTCAGAATGTCGTTAGTCACTGTTCTGGACAGCGTTCCAACCATCAGTTTACTGTGTCTTTGTCCTGGTACATTGTTCCAGTATGCCTGATGTCTTTCTTGCATCCACCTTGCCAGCCAGCCGCGTATTGAGGTTTTGGGGATACCGAACACAGGTTCCGGTCCCATAAACAACGCCGCAGACCCTTGCCTAGCAAGAGCGTCAGCTGCTTCATTGCCTCCAATTCCCTTATGCCCTGGCACCCATTGAAGAGTTACCTTGTTGTGTTTAGCCAGGGTTAGCAGGCTTTGAAGGCAATCCTAGACCAGTTTTGATCTGATTTTATTGCATGTTAAAGATTGAATGGCCGCCTGACTATCTGAGCATATGAGGATTTGTTTACCTCTGTATCCTCTTACGATATTCTGTCTCAAAAATGCCTGAATAGCATGCACCTCTGCCTGGAATACTGAAGCATACCTCCCCAAGGAAGCACATGAGTGCGTAATTGCTTAACAACACGCATTACGTACTATACTTTACCTAATGCCATATAGTACATCAAAAAAGTTTGAACAAACAGTCTGAATTATAATTCTTGACAGTTATGTCGCCCGCTGTTGACGGCGATTACGCGATCATAACAGGCGGAATAAACGAAAACTGTGCGATGTGCTTACTGTGCGTAAAGACCTACTTACTGAGGCTGTATCTCGTGTGATCTTGCCTACTTTCTATAGTGGCCGTAGGTAAAACAGTTTACCTGTGTACTGTGTACAATCTTCTCTCTAACTATCTCTACTAGTGCTCGCCCTGGTTATTTGTTATTATTTAAATAATCAGCAAAACAATATCTTCCCATATCCACCATTCATATTATACAATTTCATATAATATGATATGTCATCTTCACTTAACGACAATATAATGTCTCAAAGACAGCTCAGCCGACGTCGTCAACAAACGACAAGTTTTATCGTACAGGTACGACAATCGTTAGCTACAGAATAACAAATATCGTTCCGTAACGATTATCGTTCGTTAACGATGTCGTTAAGCGTTACAGAATTGCCCCCTTAGACCTGAGAAGTTGCAGAGACTTCTTGTATGAACAATGTCAATGTTATGGTAATGTAAATTTAGTATGATTTGCGACTTAGGCATAATGCCTAAACCATAAATCTTTGGTCGTGGAAACTACTGCCAGATTACTGCGAGCTAACAATGGGACACCCTGTATAATTTTGAACTTTTAAGCGATGCAAACGCAATCAAAATAGACTATTCACCTTCTCTCTCTAACTAAATGGTGATGGCATGCAAAGCTAGGGGAGGAGGCCATGATAGCGTTTCCCAGCGTTTCGAACTGGAACGACCTTCGCTCTAAGTTAGTACCGCTGAAACTTTGGAAATCAAAGTTCGTCAACGTCCTACAGAGCACTTTCGGTCTGATGGCGTTGACCTCGCGCAAATTTCGAAACCTGCAAGTTGGGTTAGTGTGCTGGTGAACAAGCTAATATACGGGATGTGGTGGGTGGTTAGGAAAAATGAGGAATGATATTCTATCACGATATGGAAGATGTGCAAGTGTGCAAGAGTTAGTCACATATAGAAAGTTTGCTCGTTACAAGTTCATATCCTTTCAATGAATCAAACGAGAAATATGATAAATTAATCCAAAATCATTTGGAGGTGTTATAAAAAACAGTTTAAACATAATATGGAATCTACCACTGTACAAATTTTGGCATATTTGATTCTTTTTCCCGTGTTTTCTTCAATTTTCAAGATGACAATCCTTGTTAATTAGAAGAATAATAAGAAATCTGATATTCTGGAAACATTCGCTGAATATTATGTACTCTTTCAAAAACACCTCATATTTATAATCAAATTATTCATTGATAATATAAAAACGAACATGCACCACATGGAAAATGAAAAACTAAGCTATATAAAAACTCACTTGGTGAAAGTGGCGTACACAACGTCTGCTGGTAGGGTATAGGGCAGTGTGAGAACGGACAACAATTTCATTCCCCTATGTTTGAACAGCCAGTGTAGCAAACCGTTGTTTGCCTTATCGATGGCCTCTTGGAATTTGCTCAAAACGGATTCTGGAACATTTGAAACGAGGGCTTCCTGAAAACAAATAATTTCAGATCAGTTTTCATCTGCCAAACTAAAACAGATAAGTATTTATAGTAGAAGTAGTATATTATGTACTTTCTGGTGTGTATGTACACCCTCAAGAGAGGTCCTTCGGCCAGTTGTGTTCTTTGTAGGCATAGTGGAAGGAGAAGATGGTGTGCCTACGCGCATACTATGTGACGTCATCTGGGATACCAATATGAGCTGCTAGTCACAGACAGATACCGTTGCCATGGGCATGCGCAATGAATTCAATCATGTTCTTGCTTTTGGGTGTATGATAAATTGACATTCATCATACAGGGCGTGGAAATGAATTCTGAATTGAGACTCTATCACGAATCTGCGATTAGAGGTCTATAAAAATCACAAGTTTCCATCGTTCAAGTTTGAACCCCCTGATTGGGTATGAAAGTGTTGAAAAGGAATATTCTCAGATAAATTATAAACATACAAAAATGGATATATATTTATATAAAGCAATACATTGAGAATTCGCATTCTCTATGTGATGAGAATATTTACTCTTTTTCAGTTAATTCAATAGAAAACAACTACTTTCCTGGCTATATGCCACGACGAACATTGAATTATATCTATTGAACACACACGATAAGAGTTTGAAAATAAAATATAAAAATTTCTGAAATTGAGAATTTGCATTCTCCTTCAGACAAAAATATGTATATACACACATCATTCTGAATATTCAACAGAAAACAACTACTTTCCTGGCTATTTGCCACGTCGAACATTGAATTATATCTGATGAACATTCAAAAGGGGAACATGAAAAATAAAGAATAAAATCCTCCGAAATTGAGAATTGACATTCTTCTTCAAATTGGATGAATAATATGATGAATAATGATCTAGAAATATTGGTAAGTCATATTTCTAGATCATTATTCATCATATTATTCATCCAATTTGAAGAAGAATGTCAATTCTCAATTTCGGAGGATTTTATTCTTTATTTTTCATGTTCCCCTTTTGAATGTTCATCAGATATAATTCAATGTTCGACGTGGCAAATAGCCAGGAAAGTAGTTGTTTTCTGTTGAATATTCAGAATGATGTGTGTATATACATATTTTTGTCTGAAGGAGAATGCAAATTCTCAATTTCAGAAATTTTTAAATTTTATTTTCAAACTCTTATCGTGTGTGTTCAATAGATATAATTCAATGTTCGTCGTGGCATATAGCCAGGAAAGTAGTTGTTTTCTATTGAATTAACTGAAAAAGAGTAAATATTCTCATCACATAGAGAATGCGAATTCTCAATGTATTGCTTTATATAAATATATATCCATTTTTGTATGTTTATAATTTATCTGAGAATATTCCTTTTCAACTCAATCATGTTCATTGAAATTTCTATAAGTTTCTCTATCTGTTTAGAAATAATTCAATTTATATAAACAGGTTCCTCTGATTTTACTATTTCATTGATTCTGGAAATTGTGATTTTGAGGTAATTCGCAATCGCAAATAGCAAATACATATGAATTATCATGCATTGCCAATCCCATCTGAATGATCCACTACTGTGACAGATTAAAATTCAGCAGTTAACGACATTGACGTTGCTTCTGCTCCGACATCGACAACAGGAGTATCGATTTTTGCTGTTTTGTTATTCAAATCTTTGCTGCAATTTATATTTTGTGAGAAACTGAGAGTTTTGAATTCATTTTCAATTATTTCTGACTTGATATTCGGAAGATGTTCTGTAGGAATGGCATCTTGTTTCAAATATTTGTGATTTTTTTGAGGTGTGTAATTCAAGAACCGTACTTTCGCACTTGTTTGGGTACATTTTGCATGGAAATGTTTTGAAGAAATACGTGCTGTAATTTGAATGTGATGATAAAATATGATAGGATATAAGGAATATAAGTTAGGTACCATTATTTGAGTTTATATTCTGTCGGCAGCAAGCTCCCATCGTTTCATTAGGTCTCCATTCTTGGAAAAGCAGAAGAATTCAATATCTGTGCCTTTGTATGTTAGTTGGAATTTGCATTACCAGAAACGAAACAAGTAGGCCTTTCGAAATTATTTCATTCAATTTTAGTTTTTAGTACTGATATAATATCTGAAGTTCGAGACATCAATCACGAAAACGAATAATATCAATGACAGTTATATCCCAGCTGACGTCATGCGCAGAACAAGACGAGTTTGAGCTTTTTGTTGAGCACACCATCTTCTCCTTCCACTATGTTTGTAGGCTTTGTTACTGACTCCTTACGCCACCTTAGAAGCAGCACTGTCAATTGGATCGCAATAGTGAACCGTGCAGAATCATCCCCGATCGAGGATACGAGAATTAGAATTTATAACTCGTTTTATGAATAAAAATTCTTTGCTCTGCTGGGGATTCCATCTAGTGACCTTTCAATGTTCTGGTTACTAGTCGAGAATTTCATGCACTTCGCTATTCCGCCGTAGATGAGTATAATACTCATCAAAATAAGGAAAAATATATGGATAAGATCACTGGATTATCTGCGGTTTGAACAATTAATCTTATTTCTCAGTTGTAAAATACAGAATGTTTCCCGAAGAAAAATGGTGATTTCAGTATTTTCTGAAGAAATTTGAAGGAAACATCTTAATATGAACATTTGTCTGATGATGCCTTCATTCCGAGATACAGAATATTGAACATTTACAAAATATATCTCTCACTACTTGGTTCTCGGAATTTTGCAGTTATTACTTTCAGAAAAGCTGCATTTTGTGTGAAATCAATTCCGCTCATTAGCATTTCCGGACACGTTTGTAGATACTTCACATATAAGGAATAATAATTTACCTACTACCAATATGTAATGTGAAACATTACGACACTGATTTTATTATCGTAACGAGATACTTTACCGCACTAGTAAAGTGAGAAAAATATAATTTGAAATCTTATTTTTACTCAAAAAATGAAATAAGAACCAATTTATCATGAATATAGCAGGTACTGAAGTTTCGATTGCTGCATTCGCCGCAATTTCTATATCGGAATCTAAACTTTCCTGATCCGAATTCGAAATTAACGCGTCAAAGTTGACATTTCGCCGAATCAGTGACAAACCGAGAACTCAATAGATTCACGACTATACGCCCAACCATTGCAACGCTTGCTTGTTACATATTCCTAATGAATCGTCAGTTTAAGAAATATTGAATATTTTTGATTAAACAATGGGCTTATATCACAAAAAAAATTTATTCCATAATTCGATAGAACTCACCTAAACTAGCTCACCACCGCAAACCGTTTATCGCTGTGAGCTTCCTACGTTTTATAAAAAATTATTGAAATCCCCGATTTTTCGGACCTCTGAAAACGAGGCGATGATGTGACGTCAAAACCCTAATACTGAAACAGGATTATTGAATTAGCGCGAGATCACAGTTGAAAGAATTAATATATCAGTTGCCTCAGTCTCCGTCGGGCTTTTGGTATTTTCTTTCAACTATGGCGAGATGAGGTTTCTACGTCATAAGAGGGTCCGTTTTCAGATGGTACTATTATTTATGTCCAAAAATTGAACATTCCCGTAAATTTTTCGATCGAATTATGTCGTCAATAATTATTTATGTATGAAAGGATCATTTTAAACATGGTTTGAGTTAAAAGTTCTACCAAGGTGTACACGCCCATTTAGCTTTTTGGTAGTAGGTAAAATATTGTACTATATTCGTATCGTAAACTCATATTACGATAATCGATATAGTATTATGAGTCTTTAAGATACTCGTATCGTAAATATCTATTACACCTTGAAGTTACGGATCATACTTAGGAACGTTCTGAATATCAATATAACAAAGTTTCTCAATTTCGACATTTTTTTATACAAAACGTTATATCTTAATTTTCATACATTGTTCATACACACATTTTTTCAACGAATTATTTTGATAAAATTGCAGAGCGATCAATGAACCGCTCTGCTTGTGTTTCTTTTTATCAATCCTGATTATCAGAGAAATATTGAAATGTTTCGTTAACGGTAAGATGTTTGGTTTGGAGCATTATGAATGAGATCAGGGGTCATATATTTTGACCCCAATACCATACATTCTCAAACAATCTAGCACTGGTATGTGGTGTTTTCAAGAAAGAATGTATCAAATAGCTATCGAGAAGAGTATGCATGTTTTTTAAAGAATTATGGGTTCCTAATGTACCTCAAGTTCAACGGTTGATTTTTTTAATGAACTTGAACTTTGTTATCAAACGCGCAACATATGGTCTAGAAATGATCCATGATCCATCAACATTTCTTAATTATGCATAATTGTTATCTGCAAGTGTGTGCCATTATGCAAAAATGGTTGGCTTGTATCAAGATTTCGATTTGAATAACGAGTGTCACTCAACGTGAAATGGCAATGAATATTTATAATTTAATGATACATATGTATATTCTCTTTGTCTTCTGAAGTCTAGTTTGGTTATTATTATGCAGCTATAATTCATCAGTTTTCCATTTTATTATTGAAATATAAACAGAACAAGTTTTGTGGACGAAATATGAAATTAAAATTACAACCCAAAGAAAATAATTCCCTATTTTACTTATAACAAAAAACAAGTAAGAAGAACAATGGAATTAAAAATGAACACATAACCTCCACTAAAGTTTTAGGAGTGTTTTTCGAAGTTTTTACAAGAAAAAATCTCGAGAACGGTCATACTTTTATAATGGGAATTTTTTATGGCAGGTATGGTATAATTTGATCTACACATTTCATCAGTTTGACATATATTCTTTACCGAATACCCTGTATGATAGGAGCACATTAAATAACATATCATCGAAAAATATAAGATTTTAATTCCACTTAGTGGAGAACATTAGCTTACTTCTTAAGATTGAAATTGTAACATTTTAATCTTGAATAAATATAGGTAATCAAATTATGCTAAATATTAATTTAAACAAATTTACGATTAACCCCAAATTTTCTCCCTTCATGTATATTTTTCAACTCATTTGGCAATGAATTGAACAAAATTATTCCATCATGAAATATCAATTGATGAAGTTTGACTTCTTGAACTTATTTGCTATCAAGTAATTCAATGAATTGTCTAGTACCATACCTATGGACTGTATCAACCAAGTTTGATCTTTTCAAATGTCTTCCTATTTTGAGTTGATACAATGAAAACAGATTAGGAAACTTTCTTGTATTGTTTAAATTTACTGTTGGTTCTAGAAAATGTAGATTGAAAATGCACTAAACTGTATTATATTGTAATTTCATATGGCTTTAGGCGTGAAATTCAGGTGGTTCAAAAGTCAGGATCACTTAATAATTTCACTAAAATCAACATAACGTCCTCTATCTCAGATTTGAAAGATGGTACACATTAAAGTTTCCTCTATCTACAGATCTACAGTAAATTTTAACCTGAAATACCCTGTAGAGACCAAGATACTTACCCAATTTCATATTACTTACTATACAAAAATGTTGCTCTTTAATATTTATCGATCATCAACATAAAAAAAAATCGAAATATTTTCTAACCTGTCTATGTAATTTGCATTCTTTGCACTGTGGATCGTATTCCAAATCTTCTTCTATGGTCTCTGATACGACGAATGTCGATTGCACAGCCAGGCATCTAGTACAGTTGATGAGGTTGTTTCTATGCAGAAATCTCAAGGCATCATCGAATCCCTGTTTGCACATATTGGAAAGAACTTCTGGTTTCGGCGGGAACAGAATTCTGACTATCCTGTATATGTTGTGTTTTGATAGTTCAATGCTGGTATTGGCAACATTGATCTGAAAACAAAAGAAAATATTTTGTGAAAATTGATGTTGAAAATGATACTTTTGGAATAAATTCAGAAAAAATCAGAGCATATGTTTTCCTATCTTTTCAGATAAAGAATCTTTATGAATTTACAATTTGCAAGCTTACATTTTTCTATCCCGGGAACAAAGGAAACATTTCTTCTGAAATCCAATAGAAATTATTATAAAACAACCTAATGGAGTAATATAATTTTATTTTTATTTGATAATAAGCTCAAAATGAACATCATTAATGAATGAGATGTAAATTCTTCACATATATATTTATTATACAAAACAATTTTCATTGTTTTCGGTCCAATATCAGGAGGAATAGTTTAAGCATGACACGATAATATTTACTCAGATTCAATATGAAGGTTGTTTACCTCTCCGAATTAAAAATGTGACTATTAAATACCATTAGGAATAGTTTTTTTCCGCAATTAGCTCTAGAACACACCATTAAGTGCACTGAGAAATCGTCTTTCTTTAAGAACGGTGAATTATAAAATTTATTGACGATCGTGAATTCAATAATAATAACAGTATGATTGAATATATCATCGTCCACGAATATTGGAATATTGGTGGACGATGCCTTTATTATGACATTCGTAAAATTAATAGGACTGCTTGGGAAATGTATGTAAATTCCAGAAAATTACCTTATTTTTTCTAGTGATTTTCATTCTCAATCTTAATATTTTGAAGTAGATACCTACTTGAATTATGTTCTCAAATGAATAATTGGTAACTAATTTCGCATTGTTATTCATTTTGATCAATTTTAAAAATTGTTTTTCAAAGAGTTCTTGATGATACTGTTTTGTTGATCAATTTAGAAATTATTTTTAATAAATATTCTTGATTGGTTTCACTCTATAGAAATGAACTGTAAGCTGAAATTTTAAATCTTTTCTAATTCATACAGCAGACTAATGGAACCTAGAAAGATATCTTTTTTCAATAGATCTCATCCCAGCCAACCATCGTGTGACATCAACATCTGTGTGATGTAACAACCTTGCATAAATGCAATATCTTGTTAACACATTTTATTGACGTAGATTCGATATCAACGTCGCAAGGTGACATCGCAACCAGGAAACTATGTAATGTGGCAGCGACTTCTTCAAACTACATCTCTTCGACGTTAACTAAATAATTCACATTGATATCCTCATGAGATATCTTTGTGACCTGTGAGTGTGAAGCAGACATGCGCAAAACGAACGCACACGCCAGACGCCATGTTGAGCTGTGCATGGCCATGTCAGTCAGTCAGTGAGTGAGTCCGACTCCGTACAGACTATTTCCTTCCAAATTGTCTTTTGAAATATCTGAGATGATTTATAGCACATATTATAGCAGCTTCAAATTGGAGGTATACAATCATTTAGGAACGACGGTGAGTTCAATCACAATAGGTAATATTGTAATTATCTCTGATAGGAATATTGCAATCTAAAACAAGGTGGATGAAAGATCCCAAGATAATTTAAGTGTATTTGATATGTATCATTCATGAATAATGTATATTTGTATTGCTAAATATATGTGTCATGTTTTACTTCAAGATTACTAATTAGGGTGATTGTAATGATAAGTTTTGTATCATCTGTTTTTACTTTCGGAAAATAAACATTTTCTTCGTAAAGTTGAATAAGTATTATTATTATATATATCCCACGAATATCACAGGTACGCGGCGACCACATCATCGATGTCGCAGTGTGATGTATTTGATTTTTCATGTGATGTCCCATTTCATGTCTGAACGACGTCACAGTGATGTTGCTTGAGTCGGACATTTTCACATCGCCACGTTGTATCGGTAACATGTTTGTGATTTCAAATGTGATATCGCATGTCACAAAGTGATGTGGCGTATACATCACTTATACATCTCATTGTTGGCTGGGATACAGTTTATCATAATTCTGAGGATTCAACAATTGACAATTGACTAAAGCATTGGCCAACAAGATCTCCAGATATTGATGCTCCAGACTTTTAATAAAAGAGAAAAATGACGAATATTGAAAAAAGTTATGAAAATGCTCTGGTACACACCCAAATGTGCAAAATCTGGTGATCACCTTCTGGAAACTTACATGGAATAACTGGGAGCTGTCATCTCTGGGACAAATGTCACTTTCCCCACAAAAAGGACTGACTGTGATGGTGTTTTCGTTCAATGTAGGCAAGTTGTCGCTGTATCCACCGTCCATGTACCGTACGCCCTTGAATTTGGGAGGGAACAATCCTGAGAAGATTGGTATGAACGCTGATGCTAATAGGACCTGGATGAGTTCTTCTCTACTGTCAAAGTGTGAAACCTGGAAATATAGAAAATATCTTCTTTTTTCAAAGTTATGCAAGGAACAGTAGTTTTCCCATGAGCTCGTATTCATCAACATGGATTATCGTTCCTTAAAAAAGTAATTCAGTGCAACAAGTTGAAAGGAACATTATTTCAAAATAGATAATAGAGTAGGCAAATACTTTGTCATATTTGCGAATAATTTCTTCTCCGATTCAAAACTCAATGAGCTACATTTTTGTCATCTACCACTACCGACCGTATACAGTGTGTCCCACTTACCATGCTCACCATGGGTATCTTTTTAACGGTGAGAGATACGAGGTCGGTTAAATGACACCAAATGTGGAGTTTGTCAAGGCCAACTATAATGTAAAAAAATATTTTGATAAAATCTATTCGTTTTTGTTTCATACGCAAAAATAGTTATTTATTATACAAGGGAAAAAAGTAGTAGATTTTAGCTCCAGGTTGTGTTGTCTCCCGACGCGTAGCGGAGGGAGACAAAAAACCGTGAGCTAAAATCTAATATTTTTCCCGTGTATAATACACTATTTTTTTCTGTGACAGAAGGAAGGACGAATCAATATTGAGAAGATATTACATTATTTCGAAATCTGAAAATTATCGACGTGAAATTTCAAGTTTTTAACAGTAGGGACACCTGCGTTTTATAGACATCTTCATCATTCTTTTGAAGTAATCAAATATCTGATGTCACTTCTGTCAGTTCAATTCTGTGATTCGATTTTGAAAAATTGCGAATTCAGTAGTTGTTTAGTAATATACGAAACCGCGAAGTCGAATGGAAGATAAAAGGACTTGTAGTTCTTTCTCGGGGACGGTATTATTGACTCATTTTTCGGAACTATAGCACAACAAAAGCCATTAACAGAGTATATATATGTGATATATATCCGGGAAAGAAGTACTCACTTTTTTCCCACGGGAAAAAAGTAATTTATGAAAAGTGACATTTTATAACCTGCCAACAGAGATGAAATGCCAAACTTTTTTCCCGTCACAGAAAAAACAGATTTTGATCATTTTCATGTCTCCTCCGTAACTTCTTTATTTATGAAAATATTCATAAAGGAATTTCACATTCTCATGGCAGTTTTTCAAAGTGATTTCGAAAAAAATATGAAATTTATACCAACTCTTCTAGAATTTGAGATATCAGCACCAACTTTAGTTTTTCAAATGTAGGTCATAGCTCACTATGACTTAGTTACAAATAACTTTTTTTTCTCTTACAGGTGATATGTCGCAGTAATAGTTTTGTGTTGATAACAACGGATTTATCGTCATTTATACAAAAACAAAAAACTATTTGGAAGCCGCCATCTTGAATTTATAGATTTTTGACAGAAAAATTATGATCTCCGATCTCAAAAACCCCCACTTACCAATTTTGAATGGAATCGGACCAAATCTTGTCCGCCATCTTGGAGCAGTCATTTTATTTTAATTTCAACAAATATTCCATAACTCCGATTAACTTGAAATTTGGCAGGTGTTCATTATTTCTGTGACAATACATTATGGAATTTTTGTTGAAATTAAAAAAAATGGCGGACAAGATTTGGTCCAATTCCATTCAAAATTGTTAAGTGGGGATTTTTGAGGTCGGAGATCCAGATTTTTTTGTTAAAATTTATAAATTCAAGATGGCGGCTTCCAAATAATTTCTTGTTTTAGTATAAATGGCGATAACTCGGTTGTTATCAACACAAAACTATTGGTGCTGATATCTCAAATTCTAGAAGAGTTGGTAAAAATTTCATATTTTTTTCGAAATCACTTTGAAAAACTGCCATGAGAATGTGAAATTCCTATTTGAATATTTTCATAAATAAAGAAGTTACGGAGGAGACATGGAATTGATCAAAATCTGTTTTTTGCGTATGAAACAGAAACGAATAGATTTTATCAAAATATTTTTTCACATTATAGTTGGCCTTGACAAACTCCACATTTAGTGTCATTTAACCGACCTCGTATCTCTCACCGTTAAAAAGATACCCATGGTGAGCATGGTAAGTGGGACACACTGTATATGAGGGTTGATGAGCCGAATCAGTACTGTGGAAGTTTCCAGTATTGAGATTTCTATCGCACTGTGAAATTTATGAAAATTTACTACATATATATTTTTCTTTTTTTCCTAAGATCAAATTTCCCTTCAGAAAAAATAAATGAAAGAGGAGCTTGGCTCCTTCACCATTCCTATGACTTACTTTATGAAAAGCCACCAGTACGACGTTGCCGACGTTCAATATGTCTAGATTTCTGGAAATTTCTCTTTAAAACAAATTATAACTATAACATAGCTGTTTTGATTCGCCTTTTGACCATGGAAGGAGAGACATGTCTCCAGGTCAAAAGTCAGGTTAATGTGTGTGCAAGTCTATCATTTTTCTAATTACCTGATCTGGATTAAAATCCAATAATTATCGTGAAGTTTAATAAGTGTGTGTGAAAATATTCAAGCCCTTTTATCTCTACGCCGGTATATAGGCCGGATGATGACGGATTCTCCGGGTAAAGGGGCCATACTTGAATTCTATGTTGAAATCAAACGTGCTTCAGTAGGAGCACATACGATAGAATCTTGAACTTTGATGAACTCGGCTTCCTGGCATGGTGACGGACTACGGTGTCTTTAGTGCTCGAGTCGAGAGATAATATTACATAACCACATATAATTCTTGAAAAAATTTAATTACCTGATCTGGAGAAATTGTTACCGAAAGGAGACAGAAATCCAATAAACCCAAAAGAAGAAGAAGAACTATAACATAACAGCAATGGGATATAATAGGTTTTTTAATCCTACTTCGTCGAGAATTTTGAATAATTCTTATAAATCTCTTACAGGCACACCGTGAGCTGATATGATTATAAAATGGTTATGTATGTTTTTGTTTGTCAGTTTTATCGTGTCGATTTTTGTTCTAAAGTTTAGCGTAAGCCTAAAGTTTATAGAGTTAGTTAGGTGATTATTGCTATTTTTCATGATATACACAATACGACACAATATCAACAACGAGCAACGACGCCAAGTTGTCTTCTTCTATTTTTTTTTGTTCGTTAGCTATATTACATAAAAATGGGGAGTTCCGAACATAATTTATGAAAATTCATCTGAAGGAAATTTCCCCAATTTATGGTATCAATGAAATCTCGAAGTTGTTTCTTGTGGAATTTAGATGCTTACCACTACATTTTTTCCATCATGTACCCTTGTCAGAGAGACGTGTAGTTTTCCGCTGCATCTAACATGTGCGTCATCTGGAAGGAATTTTTCCAAGTTTTCCAAAAGTAGGCTGTTGATATTGAAGGAAGGGGAGAAAGCCCCCAAAGATCTGCTTCGGGCCTCTGTTGTCACCCTAAGGACATCACTGGTCATTTCCCCTAGAAGAGAGAAATATAACTAACTACCTATAGTACCTTTGAACTGATCAATGATTCATCTTCTCTGGTCATATTCAGCATATTATTATGGACACGCCAATTCATGGTTTTGCAACAGATGAATCTGAAATTTTCATGGTATAATTCCGATTATCGGAAAGATTTTCGAAATAATCCTGAAGGAACAATTGCTGCTCTTTTTTAATAAAAATAACACTCTTGATAAGGGACAGTTTGGTTTCCGGCCAAAATGCTCCACCATTCAGGCTGTAAGCTCTATTGTGGCGAACATAGTCGAGGGCCTTGAGAATGGTAAACACACTGAAATCACCTTGTGTGACCTATCCAAGGCCTTCGACTGTGTATCGCATCTAAAATTACTGGATAAATTAAACTTCTATGGTGTGCGGGGAGTACCTCTGAAACTGCTGAAATCCTATCTCGATAACAGAATTCAGTGTGTTGCCATCGAAAACAATTTCTCTAAATTCCAGTACATTAACCACGGAGTCCCGCAGGGAAGTGTGCTGGGACCACTATTATTTATTATTTATCTCAACGACATTTTTCACTACTTGTCCCCTTCTGGGTGTATTTGCTTCGCTGATGACACGACATTAATTGAAACTCATTCTAACCGTATCACCCTAAACAATCTCACCGAGCAAGCAAACAACAAAGCTTATACCTGGTTCAGTACTAATAATCTCAAACTAAATCAAGAAAAACCCCAAAATAATGTTTTCTCTTCAAACATCAACCTAACCTCAAACAATACAGTCAACCTTCTAGGTATCATATTAGACGACAGGCTAAACTGGTCTGCCCACATTGACCAACTATGTAGTAAACTCTGCACCCAATTATTTCTGCTGAGACAATTGAAAAAAATCTTCAGCATTCCAATATTATTATCTTGTTACCATTCTCTCTTTCACTCGCACCTCAACTATGGTACTATTCTCTGGGGTAACGCAACACCCGCCATTAGAGTTTTTAGGCTTCAAAAAAAGGCGCTAAGAATCATCGAAGGTGCAACATACCATGCGCACTGTCAGCCAATATTCAAAAAATATAAAATCTTGCCAATACCTTGTGTTTTTATATACCAAACTTTACTGGAAACATTTTCCAATATAGCGCTGTTCTCGAAAAACGCTGATGTCCATAACCACGCCACGAGATCATCAAGTAAACTGAGAACTCCTAAATTCAGACTATCTGTCACTGAGCGAAATTCTCTAAATGTCAGATTTTTTAATGTCTTACCACCAGCTGTAAAATCTTTAAATTTCATCCAATTCAAGAAATGGGTAAAAAATCATTTACTATCACACGCTTTCTATTCAATTGAGGAATTTCTTTCATTTAACCATGAATAACATGATGCTCACCCCAACTTCATAAACATATCTATAAAAATAAGTAGTTTTAACTCAATCCTCTTCAGGGCATTGTTCTTGAGTATTTTTGCGTATATGACGGAATATGTGAAACTTTTGAATCACGTACATACATGTATATGTCACCATTACAGCACACAATATGTGTGTCATTTTAATCTGTTTTGTTCTTCAATGTCTGTTTTCTTCAATGTCCGTTTTTAAACTGTAATTTATTAACATGTATACTTGAGTGTTTTTACCTCGGTTTTTACTATAATAATAAAATCTATTGTACCTTGACTTGCTACAAACATGTAATTCATGTAAAGTGGTTTAAACTATCTATTTATGTATAAATTGACATGATCTACACGTCTAAAATATATTAAACGATGCGGCGTTGATTTTTCAAGTGGAACACCCTGTATTTTGTTGCATTTTTAGATTCTTTCTGTTGAGCTGATTTTATCAATTAATCATACTTGGGGTGTAGCGGGAATGATTACAGAGATATAACCTGTTCAAAATCTTTTTTCTCAACATTAGGATTTTTGGTGTAGAAACTATTATCGGCCAAAACTGGCTTACATGTCCCTATCTCAACTTCCGATTTACTATCTATTGACATTTAATTGGAACAAATACACATCAGTGGTTCAAGATTCAGAATTCTGATCACCTTGTAGCTGTTCCAATTCAATGTCAATAGATAGTAAATCGAAAGATTAGATAGGGACATGTAAGCACGTTTTGACCGATAATGTATTGTTTGGACACAAAAATATCCCTAAGTTGAAAAATCTCGATTTTGAACACCCTATATCTCTGTAATCATTTCCTCTAGACCCCAAGTGAGATACATTGATGAGATCAGCTCTTCAGGGAGATTCTAAAGATGCAATGAAATACATGAAATACATTGAAACATTAAAGTTGCTGCTACTTTCTAGGAAAAGCGGCAACATTCATACATACCATCAAATTTTCAGATTCATCTGTTGCTTGGTTTGCCAGATACGTCTAATTAACGCCCATCGTGAAAACCCTGTATAAAATCCTTATATTGTTGAATTCAAGTATTCGAATATGAAATATAAAGTATTCTTTCCATTTGAATACATATACCCAAATACCCATATCAAACTTTTTTGTGGAAATTTTTTTCAGTTGGCCTAAAATTTATATTAAAAACCTGTACATTGTCTTGTACAAAACAAGTGAGTAATATATCCACTGCTCCTACATTGATATATCAAACAATAGGCATGTGCCAAATATAGGCTTTATCTCGGACTTTATCTAGTGATACGATCTTATTGTATCTTTTGATAATTATAGTGGTATAGTTAAAAACAGTTATCGACAAAGTTCCCTCCTGAACGAGGCTACTTCTTTGTTATTTTCATTTGTTTTACACAAATTAATCAAGTAATATGTATATTTGGTTTGTGATAAACCAATAATGTTTTTAGTTCAGACTATATCCTATCACGGTCGAGATCACTGTGTGCCTATCTGCCTATACCTATTTATTACCTTATTCTGCTGATAAATTAATACTAGTAGGAGAGCCGCTGCAAATTTCGACTGTCATCTGATAACGAAATGTTATATAATGTTACTAGCTGACCCGGCAAAAGTTGTTTTGCCATGAACATTTCTAGAAATAATTGTTTTAGATAAATATTTATCAAAAAACTTTTATTTTATTTCAACTTCTTCTTAGTTTGGCTATCCATAAAAGCGAGATTCTTCAGTTTTTCTGAATATTCTATTTATTTTCTACTTCTTTTTAGTTCGGCACTCTACCGGGTGTTTCCGAAATTGGGGTAATTAATGCAATGGGTGATAGAACACGAAAAGACGAAACGAAATGAAAGAATACATTTTTGTAAAAAAAAAAAAATTCAAGTTTCACAGCAACTTTTGAGAATAACTTACAAATGCGGCCGACTGCATAAAGAGTTTGACCCTTATAACCAAGGGTTCGAAGCAGGTGCACGCAATGTTTCCGGACGTTCAATATTTTTGTGAGACAATATTTTTCATTCGTTATTTGGAATACGTGAGGTTTAAAAAGTATGTTGTAGACATTTTGAGTAGTGTTACTATTTAAAGAAGAAACAATTCCAGATACGATTGAAATTAGACATAAAAGAAGAATCTTACGAAAGAAAATAAGGATGATAGTAATATAAGTTATGTCTGGAAAAGGTCATCTACAGTACGGGTATGAAAATTTCAGGCTGACGCCAAAAGGAAGGCTAACGTCTAATTTTGACATCTAATTTCACACTTTTCAGAACTAACGGACAATCTATCTCGCTTTTTAAACTATACTATCAATTTTCAACTTCTATTCAGTTTAACCTCGAGTTTGACCATCCATAAAAGCGTGTTTCATTATAGTTTTCCAAACTACTATTTATTACAAAGCTCTTTCGCCATATTGGATCTGCCATCTTGAATTTCCCAATTTTAAAGAATAAAATCATAATCTCCGACCCCAAAAACCCCTAGATACAAGTTTTGAATGGAATCGGATCATAATTACAAAACTTGTCCGCCATATTGGACCCTCCATCTTCAATTTCCCAATTTTGATGAAAGAATCACAATCTCTGACCCCAAAATCCGCCAGATAAAAATTTTGAAAGGAATCGGAACATAAGTACAAAAGTCGTCCACCATATTGGATCCGCTATCTATCCGCTTTCGAAATTTTGACGAAAGAATTATGATCTCCGACCCCGAATATACCCAGATACCAATTTTGAATAGAATCGGATCATAATTACAAAACCCGTCCACCATATTGGATCCACCATCTTGAATATCCAAATTTTGACGGAAGAATCATAATCTCCGACCCCAAAACCCCCAAATACAAATTTTGAATGAAATCTGATCATATTGGATCCGCCACCTTGAATTTCTAAATTTTGACGAAAGAATCATAATCTCCTACCCTGACAACCCCCATATACCAATTCTGAATAGAATCGGCCCATAATTGAAAAACTCGTCCTCCATACTGGATCCGATATTTTGAATTTCTTAATTTTGACGAATAAATCATAATCTCCGACCCCGAAAACCCCCAGATACTAATTTTGAATAGAATCGGAGCATAATTAAAAAACTCTTCCGCCATATTGGATCCGCCATCTTGAATTTTCGATTCAAAAAATAGATTACGACCGAATACACACAAAAACTTTCATACGAATCGGTCGAGCCGTTTCGAGATAAGCAAAACACTTCTCTATCTTCTCATTAGAGGAATTCCTAAAATAAATGGTGATTTCTCACGTCAGAAGTGGATCAATTATTCTTATCAAGCGAGTCAACAAGTGATCTATGGGGGCAACCTAGGGGGCAATACCTGATAGCTCGACTGATGGTATTTCACGGTATTTCAGTTAGATACATTTTCAAATAAAATACAAGTTCTTTGTACCACACAACTTTTTTATTCAATTTTGTCTCAACTAACAAAAAAATATGGGGAAAGGATCACCTCGCGATATACTTACAAGATACTTACATAATGAATCAGCCTGTATCTACTATCTACCCTTGGTATCTTCCAACCGCTTCCAACCTACCACTTTT